TCCGGCACCTACTCCAATTGGCGAGGAAGGGGAGCTGACCCGAAGTATAGCATGCTTGGCTCCTTAACGCTGTATCGGCGATTGCTCCACGAAAACGTGTTCTCCAGGCCTGAGATTCGCCACATAACACCCTTTGCCAAATACCAAGACGGACACACACTGCCCAGCTTTGGTCATGGAATTGCAGGAATTATGGCCGGAACGACCGTCAGTTTCATTGCGGCGCCTGTAGAACATGTCAAAGCGCGACTGCAGATTCAGTATGCGGCCGATAAATCGCAGCGCATGTACAGTGGGCCGATCGATTGCACTCGTAAAATTGTAAGTGCCGTGCATAACCGAGGGAGGATGGGTAGGGATGGTATGATGCTGACTCTCGTAGTTTCGCACACATGGACTCTCCGGCTTATATCGTGGCTTGTACGCCACGATCTTCTTCCGCTCCTTCTTTTTCTTCTGGTGGGGATCCTACGATGTGCTGTCCCGGTGGATGAGGGAGCGAACAAACCTATCCACCCCGGCTATTAACTTCTGGGCCGGTGGAATCTCGGCGCAGATCTTCTGGATTACGTCGTATCCGTCTGACGTGGTGAAACAGCGCCTGATGACTGACCCGATGGGCGGCGCTCTGGGTGACGGGCAGCGACAGTTCCGGTGGTGGAAAGACGCTGCGGTGGCGGTCTACCGGGAGCGAGGGTGGAGAGGATACTGGAGAGGCTTTGTGCCATGCTTCCTGAGAGCGTTCCCGGCGAATGCCATGGCTCTGGTTGCATTTGAGGGTGTGATGCGGTGGCTGCCCTGAAAAAAAAAATGTGGGTGTCCGTCGCACAGCAAAGAGGCTACAGTGCATTTGTACATACATATGATAGATCTATACCAACGCATGAACGAATTTATTATAATAGACACAATACATTGACTGCATTCAACGTGTGCAAAGAAAAGAAAGTACAATAAAATGAATAAGGAAGGATTGCGTGTTGGAAGGAGAATCTAGGGCACAAAAGATTCCCCGTCGAAAGGGTGAACCCTGCAGGGTTGCCGCATTCGGCGATGAACGTGTGCTCCCATCGTCCCAAAACAGCCATCAGACTCTCTTGTGCAATTTCTCTCAGTCTCTGAATGCAACGGCGGCGCCAGTCGAGACATCGAGACGCCCGAAATGGCGACCCAGCAGCCACAGCAAAACCAGGAAGGCGGAAGAAAGGGTCCAACCGAGCCAGACAGAAAATTGGGTCCGTGTGTCTTTTTCCGGAGAGCTTCACTAGACTAGAACATCGATCGTCTCCTTCGCCATCATTATCTCCGTCCGCTCCCCTCCGGAGACTACATGCGGGGAGTTGACCAACTACTGCCACTCGTAATCGAATTCGCTATGTCAGGGGCCAGGCACCGGACTGCTCTTATCGCTGGCTAACGAGGATTCGCCGGACCACGACTGTCGATCCCATATTGACCACGTTACGCACACCAATCCTGCGACATCATCTCAATCCCTCCTCGATCAACAACGCCCTTGCCCTTCTCCCCCGGTCCTCAACAGGCCACGATGGCCGTTGCACGCCCAATGCGACGCACAAGTCCCATCACCTTCTTCCTGGCAGCGTTCCTCGCCTTCGGATTCCTCTTCTTCCTCCTCTCCCCGTCATCCTCCGCCACCGCCGCAGGGGACACCTCGCAGCAACGCCGCGAAGACGCCGCAGACCACCCTCTCTCACCTCCCACCAAACCCTTCTTCAAGTCCCAACCCGTCCGCAATGACGGCCTCAAGGCCCCTCCCCCAGTCGTGCACTACGACCTCAACAAACTCACCACCACCAGCGACTCCGCCGACAAAGGCGAACGAGTCCTCATCCTCACCCCCCTAGCCCGCTTCTACCAAGAATTTTGGGACAACCTCGCGCACCTCAACTACCCCCACGAACTCATCTCCCTGGGCTTCATCATCCCCAACACCAAAGAAGGCTCCGCTGCCCTCTCCGCCCTGGAAACGGCCATCAGCAAGACGCAAAACGGCCCCATCCCGTCCCGCTTCGCCAGCATCAGCATCCTCCGCCAGGACTTCGAGCCCCCGCTGCAATCCCAGGATGAAAAGGAGCGCCACAAGCTCGAGAACCAAAAGGCCCGTCGCGAGAGCATGTCCCGCGCCCGCAACAGCCTACTCTTCACCACCCTCGGCCCATCCACTTCCTGGGTCCTCTGGCTCGACGCCGATATCGTCGAGACTCCACCGACACTCATCCAGGACCTAACGGGGCATAATTACCCAGTCATCGTACCGAACTGCTACCAACGGTACTACAACGCCGACCACAAGCAGATGGAGGTCCGGCCGTATGACTTCAACTCGTGGGTCGATAGCTCCAATGCTCAAGCATTGGCGGAGAGTATGGGCCCCGATGAGATTCTCCTGGAGGGGTATGCCGAGCTGCCCACGTATCGCACGCTCATGGCTTATCTCGCTGATACGGAGAGTCCCAACCCGAGACGCGTGATCGAGCTCGATGGCGTCGGTGGCACAGCGTTGATGGTGAAGGCCGATGTACATCGTGACGGAGCTATGTTTCCGGCTTTCCCCTTCTATCATCTCGTTGAGACGGAGGCTTCGCCAAGATGGCTAAGAGATTGGGGTATCAGGTCTTTGGGCTACCGGATTATTTTGTAAGTTTCCCCATTCTCCATTTCTTTTGTGATTATTATTATTTATTTTTTTCTTCTTTTTCAACCTGGTTCTTGTTTGGCTGGAGATGGTGCTAATCGGGTTTGGCTAGGTATATCACTACAACGAGTGAAGGGGCTGTCATGTTCTAGTTCTAGATTGTTTTTTTTTTGTTTTTGTTTTCTGTATTGATCGCTTGCATCCGCGCGCTGTGCGCAGGTTTGTTTTTGCCCTGGTCGTGGGGTCTTGTTTTGCATTTCCTTCTGTCTTACGATACTTCCTAAACTTGATGGTCGGATGGGCGTTGGTTTGTCTTGTATCATGTGGTTCTACGTAGAGTGGGATTGAGGTCCGTCTGGTCTGAGTTTATGTCTTGCCAGGCACGGGGCTGGCGCTATTGAGATAGTATTCTAGGTCCCATTACATACATACACGCGAAATCGTTTTTCATCTAGATGACTTTTGGTAGATGGTGTAAGTAGGTAGTCTCGTCTTCAAGGGTTGAAGAGCGAGTGCGAGTGAGGGTGTCGTGTTTGGAGGTTAGTATGCGAGGGATGTACGCTTAATCCCAAGAGATCCTGTTATTCTCGTTAGCAAGCCCAATCGCATACAATAGAGTGTTGACAAGAAGAGAAAAGAGTGAGCGACATACGCAAGCATAATCCCCGCCCCAAGCGCAACAGCCAAAAACTGCACAATGGTCTTTTTAATCTCGACCTTCTTATCCTTGCCCGTCTCCAGCAGCTCAGGGATCACAGACACAGTCCCCACATACAGGAACGTCCCCGCCGTAAAGGGCAAGAGCATATCCCCCCACTGCAAACTGGTGCCCCAAAGCCCGCTCACCACCCCCTCAGCAGCATCAGCAGCGGCGGCGGCGCCATGACTACCCCCAAGCTCCTGCACCGCGATACCGATAAAGGTACCCAGGAAGGCGCCGATGGCGGTCACGAACTGCGCGCCCATGGCCTTCTTCTTCGAGAATCCGGACTGCACGAGGAGAGCGAAGTCGCCGACCTCGTGGGGAATTTCGTGGAAGAAGACGGCGACGGTGGTCGTTGCGCCGATGGTGGGGGAGGCGTAGAAGGATGAGGACATGGCCAGGCCGTCGGTGATGTTGTGGGTGAAGTCGGCGATCAGGTTGAGGTAGCCGCCCAGTTTGACGCTGGGGTTGATTTCCTTTTCGGCTTCGGGGTTTGCGACGGCTTGCTCCTTGGTGGACTTGCGCTGTTTGAGGTCACCGGAGGACTTGGTGTCGGTTGAGGAGGTGCCGGTGGTGACCGCTGTGGCGGGTTCGTGGGAGTGACTGTGGCCGTGGGAATGGTCGTGGCCTTCGCCGCCAGTGGCGATGCGGAGGGTCTTGTCCATTGCGACGAAGGTGAAGAAGCCGACCATGATGCCAAGTCCGAGGAGGAGATTCCTGTTCGGTTCGACCATGACGAAGCGGACGTGGTCGGGGCTGTCTTCGCCGAGGAAGATCTCAGGTAGAAGGTGGAATAATGTGTCGCCCATCAGCCCGCCCACAGCGAAAGCTACCATCACGGACAAGGATGAGGGGTCGATATTCGGGGGGCATAGTGCTAGGAGGAAGTCTAAAGCTGGTTAATTGCTGTATAGCGCTGTTTGGGGGGGGGGGGGGGGGAGAAAATATCGGGACGTACTGGGGGGTCCGGAGATATACGCAGTGGCCAGAATTGCATTCACAGCTGGACTACCAGGGAAAAGGACGGCGAAGATCTTCGAGGTCAAGCTGGTGGTTTGGGGGCTAGTGGCACGCTTGTGTTCGTTGAGAGATTCCACAAGAGGGCAGTTCTATGTGTTTATTAGTATATTGTAAGATGTTTCTATGTACGACAGCAATTGCGTCGCAGATATCGGTATAGGCTCTCCAAGGGGGCAGAGGGACAGCGTCATATTTACCTGCAATTCATCCTCTATCTGGCCTACAGACAGCTCTCCCACGGGAAGGGCATCTTTAGCAACGGCCAGGACACTGAAAAGGACCAATCCAGCAGCCAGCGCAAAGGCAAGCCGACGCGGCGGAGAGAAAAGCCGAGCCATCGCAGCGAGAATAAATTCTGTACGCTCAGGAGAGCAGTGACACTCGGGATCGGAAGTAAGTGAGTGACAGTCGCATGGGGCCCGATCGTCGGACCCTTAAAACTTATGTACTGATGTAACGGAGCATTTTGTTATCGGGGATCCCGCGACAAACACGCCAAGACCGACAATGCAAACACCCACCAACCTTTTCGGCCAAATCGATAAGATTAATTTTCAGATTTCTTCAGCGCATCTCCCTGTTCGACATCGGATCCGTTAATACGCATAATCATACAACATGGGAAACCCGAGACAGAAGAGAAAGCTTAAGTCTTCCCTGCCGAAGCAGAAGCCCAAGAGGACCGGGATCCTCAAGAACGGCAACAAGAAAATTAATGTGCTGGGAAATGCGATCATCGCCGAGAATTGGTAAATTTTCCCAGTGCCGACAGTAACATGCGCAATGCTGATGTAGGTGTCTGTAGGGACCGGAACCTGACTCTTACACAAAACTACCGTCGTCTGGGTCTCACCCATCGTTTGAATGCCCCCACCGGAGGTTCTGAAAAGCGTTTCACGAAAAATGGCGTCGAGACCGTCCCGGAGGACTCTCTTCACATCAAGAGCAGCGCCCAAGCTGCTACGAAGAACATTACGCTGGGAGAAACTAGGGTCGAGCGCGATCCCGAGACCGGAAAGATCATCCGCGTTATTCAACCCGATGAGCACGAAATGATTGAAGTCGCTGGACGCAAGGTCCGCAAGTCAAACCCGCTGAATGATCCTTTGAACGACTCGACCGACGACGAGATGGAGGATGCTGGGTCGCACAGGAAGAGCTCCGCAAGTGCGATTGTTCAACAGCTCGAGCGCCAAGCAGACAAGGAGAGCAGTGCTGTCAAGGCGAAGAAACCCCGACACATGAGCGAGAGAGAAGTGGAGTGGGTTACAAGGCTGATTGAACGCCACGGAGACAACATCTCCGCCATGGTCCGTGACCGGAAATTGAACCCGATGCAGCAGACCGAGGGTGATATAAAACGGAGGATTCGCAAACTCAAGGAGAGCCAGCAATGAAGAAATCCGTTTGTTGCATTGTGTCACGGCGAGTTTGGCGTTAGACGGTTGATTTTGGATAAAAGTATGTTTATGCTGGGTTTCGTTCGACCATATTTGAGGTGGTCTGCTGGCTATCCTGGTGGTCTCAAGTCGTGTCATACCATAGAGTCGTCATTTATGTGCTGTCTGGCATCAATATCCAATGATAATCTGAACATATGCGTTTGATGAGTTACAAAATACAGAATACTACAGCCGCTTCTAGTATAACGGTGAACCCTACCCTACCCAAACTAGCTAGACACTGCTGAAGGGGATCACACCGAGGGCATTTTCTACGGGAGATGGCATAAACATGCCCTATGTGCACACCAGTAGCAGACACTGTTCACCTCCTAACCAAAAACACAACACACACAACACACAAGGCATATCACAACAAGCCAAAACCTCGCCCGCATCTCTTCTACTAGACCGCCTCATATCCCACTCTTGACCGTCCATCCCAACATCCTTACCACCACATATACTCCCCGACAAACTACAAAATGTCCACCATACTCCTCTTTATCTACCTCTTCACAATGACCACCCTCCTCCACCCAGGATGGGCCCAAACCAACCAGTACCTACCCTCCCCTCCAACCAAATCCCCCAAATCACATCCTAACAGCATACACCAGGCGAACACCCAAAAACCTGTGCTCAACCCCAGGCACCCACTACTGCACCCATGGCTCCCTCCACAGCTCGGAAATACTCTCCTGCGTGTCGCGCACCCGAGCCGAGCTTCGCTCTTGCAATCTCGTGTACGTCCCTTCAGAGTCTAACATCCAGGCGACTTAACGAATAGGGCAGTACTAAAGAACTACACAGATTGGCCCGGATCATCCCCAAGGGATACGAGGAGTGGGCTCGATGTACATCTTTCGCCTCTTTCATATGGTTTACGGGGCACGGTATAATGCTAACGGGGGAAATAGGTTATGAATCCTCGCCCGTAGCTGGGGATGCTATTTGCGCGTTTAATGGGACGGGATATACGTGGAAAGGAGCTACTGTTGCGGTCCCGGGGACGGGGATTTGTGAGGATGAGAGTGGTTCGATTGATGGGGTGGATTTTGTTTCTTTGGGGTGGGAGGTGAGTTCCACGATGGGTTATGGATTAGGGCCCGGATCAAGTACTGCGCTTGTGTCCTCTTTGCATGGCGGCTGGAGTTCTTTCCAGCCCGTAACTACGTCTGGGACTGGTGATGTGGGTGAGTCGGGACAAAACCAGAGGAATCTACGGCTTTGTTTTGATCGCGGGAGGTCGAGGGCTGTGGATCCTGTAGATTGGAATCGGGTTGTTACAGTGCTTGGTTCGGGGTCAGGTTGGACGTCCTTGGGTGATGGGGTCGTCGGATCTCAGGAGACTACTAGAATCGGTGGAGAGGCGGTTGCGTCTGGGTTGGGGTTGGGTTCTACTAGTACTCTTGGGAGTACGTATGTCTCAACTTCGCCTGGCAGTTTACCGGTTTGGAATGGTACTTCGGTGATTGGGTTTCCTGTTGTGACTGGATCGGTGGGTGGGGTTGAGGCTTTGGGAGTGAAAGGGGCCTGGAATGTGTATGCTTTGGCTGTGATCTGGGCTTTGGGATGGGCTTGGTAGGCCTTTGTGCATGGTGTCTCGTGCAGTGCGTTAGGGATTGTTTGCAGAGGTATGAATGGAATACTAAGTACTCTTTGAGGTACAGTTCTGCGGGATAAAGTAAATGGGCTCTATTCATCTAGTCCATAGTCCTGTATAGTAATATATTCACGTATCCCTTACGTATCCCTGTTCGGATACTCGCCCCTGATCCAGAACAACATAGTAATCCGCGTCCTTGATGGCTTCCAATCTGTGCGCAATAGTGATGACAGTTGACTCTTTCATTTCCTCTCGAAGGACTTGCTGGATCTCCAGCGAGCTCTCGTGGTCGATGGACGCCGTTGCCTCGTCGAGTATGACAATCGAGCTCCGGCGCAAGACTGCCCTTGACAGGCCGATCAGTTGTCGTTCGCCTTGGCTAAGGTTTCGACCGCCAGCTTCAACATGAGTCTCCAGGCTCCAGCCGTGTCTGCTGCAGATGCGTCTGAGGACGTCGGAACACTCCGCATCGGTGTACTCGCCAGTTGGATCGAGGTTGCGACGGATGCTTCCCGGGAAAAGCACAGGATCTTGCGCAACAAATGTTACCCGGGTCCGGAGTGCTTGAGTGCTCACCTGCGCAATATCGTGGTCGTCAACTAGGATGCGGCCGCCATCTGGGCGAATCACATTAAGAAGTGAGACTGCGAGGGTAGACTTCCCGCTTCCTGTTCTGCCGATGACGGCAGTCGTGGACCCGCCGGGGATGCGGAGGGAGATATTGTTCAGCGAGGGATCTAGATGGGGAGCATAGCGGATGGTAACATCCTCGAAGACAATATCGGAGCCGAATTTCGGCCAAGATGCCGGTGGCTCAATGGTGCCTGGAGATTCTTGCTCGATGTGTAGAAGTTCGTCTACTCTTTCAACCGAGACAAAATCCATCTGCAGCTGTCCATACTGCTTGCATAATGCATGCGTAGAGTCCACAAAGTTATTCGCTGCTATCAAAACGAAAGCGGCCAGCCCAGGAGTGACATTCGTATATAATGCAATGGCAGTCAGACAGAACGTTGAAAGCGCAGATAGACTTTCGAAACGATACATCAGCCAGCTCTGCAGCGACCAGTAGAAGTGGTCCATGCCCTGAAACTTATCCACAACTGCGATGACTCTATCCTGGAAGCGGGATTCCGCATGGAACGCACGGACAGTAGTTAGACCGTGCAACAGTTCTCCAAAGTTAGAGATTAGTGGACTCAGAGACACCATCTCCAACCGTCGTAAGCTTTGTGATGTTGGGAGGAACCGTAGGAAAGTAAAGATAAAGGCGGCAGTCAGGACAAACGAAAAAGCAAGAAACGTCGGGGTAACGGAGGCAATCACCAGAAGTGACGAAACCCACACAATGGCCTGGAAGAAAATTCGCTGGAATTGTTCACTGATATTGCCGTCGACCACACCGATGTCAGATGTCAACCGGTTCATCAAACGCCCGATAGGAGTGACATCGAAGAAACGGAATGTGGCATGGCTGACACGCAGCATGACCTCCTGAAACATTGTTTTCCCCGCGCAGTAAACTATGACAATCATCATGAGCTGTGAGACTAGGATTGTTAGTGATTGAAAAACTGTGATGGCAAAAAATGCTACAAGCCATGGTCGGACATCTTGAACTGGTGCCGGAAATTTGTCAAATGGATTACCTGGCTTCCACTTGAGCACCTGCGGGAGGACTAATGGCTCTCCCAGTCCTCCTATAGAAGCCTTTTTGTAAGATGGTAAAAAACCAAATAATACAACCGGTTGGTCGTGATTATACGCCTCGCCCCATTCTTTGAGGAACCAGGATTGACCAACAGCTGCGAGACGATACATGGCGATGAAGACCGCCAGGACCAGCCACCACTTATACTTGCCAGCTCTTATGTAGTTCCAGTAGACTTTGGCCTTCACTCCCCATTCAGCCCGGTGTTCCTCTTCAATAAACTTGTCTGGCACTGCGGCCTTATCATCCAGGTCTGCTGCTTCATTTGGAGTCTCATCATCCGAAGATTGAGATGAAGAGGATTCTTCTGGATCATCGATGCTAAGGGTCGAGGAAATAGCTTGCCTATCCTCTACAGTAGCTCTGCCACCATGAAGGTGAACAATTTGGTCTGCAATATGACGTACCAAAGTGGTGCGGTGAGTAACAAGGACAACTGTACGACTTTGCATCAACGGGCCAGAGAAGCATCTGCGAACGATGGTTTCGGCCGTGTTATGATCCAGGGCGGATAAGGGGTCGTCAAGATATAATATTCTCGCAGAACTGTAGACTGCCCGTGCAAGAGCCACGCGTGCCTTCTGCCCACCCGAGAGGCCAATACCATTCTCGCCCACAAATGAAAGGTCGCCATGTTTGAAATTAGCCAGATCTGGAAGTAATGCGCAGGCTTCGAGAACTTGCTTGTAGCGACGTTCATCATACGTGGAGGAGAACAGAATATTGTCACGGATACTCATGCTCTGCAACCATGGAGTTTGAGAGCAATATCCGACCATCTCCCTGGGGGTCTCAGAGACACCGCTTAATCTATCAAGTTCACCAAGTAAGGCTTGAAGCAGTGCTGTTTTCCCAGCACCTACTTTACCGCAGATGACTGTCAACCCCCGTGAAACTGTCAAGTTGATATCAGAGAGCACAGGTGAAGCTCTGCCAGGCCATGCAAAGTAGCAAGAATCCAGCACAAGTAGGGTTTCGGCGTTGGTTGCTATTTCTGCTTGTTTTTCCTTGTCGGGTTCGGCCATAAAGTCCTCTATACGTTCCATGGCGATAGATGCATTGATGAGCACTGTTATGAGACTAGGAATTTCTCTTAGCCGAAGCTCCAACATCGTGAAGAGCTGTAATGCCGGAAATATAATGTCAATACGTAGGGGATTCCCAGCCAGCAATGTATAAGCATACAAGGCCACGACCGGGAAAAGCCCACTGGCGAAGGTGTTGACAAAGCGGATTAAAACATTGAAAAGACTCGTCACGATGCGAAGGTTCAATTCAGATTGCCTGGCATCCATAACCTGACGGAGCCAGTGGTTTTGCCAGCCATACCAACGAAGATGGCGAAGGGCCTCCACGAACTGGGATGATATTTGGAGTCTAGTATCCGTCGCTAGTCTGCGCACTCTTTCCCAACGAAGGAGCATACGTGTTATGAAAGCGTTTAAGACCTGAGCTACCAGGATAGCGGAGATCCCAAGAAAGCAGGAGGGCCCAAGCAATTTCCAGACGAGGACTGTGGCAATGATAAGACCAAGGGGTTTGTCGACCAAAGTGTCGACTTCCCAGAACCGTTGGGCCACCTCGTAGACATCTCCGCGTAGCAAATTGAATATCTTTCCCATGGAAGCTGCGGTCTTCACTTTTTCTTTGCTAGTGGCCCGTTGCAGCGGAAATAGTCCACACAGCTTCCTCTGCTTAGTATTGGGCGCCACTTCACCGTTACTCTCCGCATTTTGCTGGTGCTCGTTTTCGCCCCCTCTTTCTGTAATTTGCTGATCGAAGATATTCTTCCTCGATAATGCCTTCTCGTATACCATCATGATCATTTCACCTCTGCTTCGTTCGTAGCAGCGTCTACCATACCAAAGGTTCAATACCTGGGACTGCGCCGCAACCAAACGAAGCACTAGTGACAGCAAGGCGTATGTCAAGGCAACACGTTTTGGTGTGTCAGGGTTGCTCATCGCCTTGAGGAGCTGTTGCAGAAGCACGGGGGTTGAGAAGTCTGTAAGGCAAATTAACACCAACCAAGATCACGGAGTAATGAGACACGAACCACAAAGCATCTGCACCGTAGAGATTCCGGTAATGATTAGAACATCGATGCCATTTGCTTGAAGGAGTCTAGATATGACAGATCCACGGAGTTGGCGGAACCTTTCATGCAGTCTACGATGCTGAAACTCGAAACCTAGGAACCAAACATCATCCTCATTTAACTGTCTGTTCTTGCCGGCTGTCATCAGCGGAGCCATCCAAGACACAGTAAGAAATTGCCAAAGTCGTAGATTGTCCTCCGGGCTACGAAATTTGCTCGATGGCGGTTGGCCCACGACGCCAATATCAACGCGGGGAAGTGAAGGTCCACGGAATGGCATAAAGAGGATAGTTGCGCAGGCAGCAGCAGCAGCACTAGCGGCAATGTAGTGAGTATAAACCCTCGACACTGTATACGCGTCACGATTTAGTATGAATGCTGTTTCCACTGCCAGCTCTGCAGCAAAGAAAGATAACATGGATACTGGACAGGACTTTGGGCGTTCTATGGCGATCAAAACAATTGCCACTGCCTAGATCATCGCTTTTACTTAGTGTACGTTGCGCGAACGAACAGCTGTGACTCACCCAAGATACCAGTAGCATAACACTGGTCGGCGTGGGCGCGTATGGTACAATTTTCGTGAGCTCAGCTGCGAATCCAACTGTTGAGAAGGCAAGCAGGACAATCACCCATCCCGTTCTTTGTCTTGGCCTCTCTGATGGCAGCTCAGGACATGGTGGCTGTTCCGCTACGAAAGGCCGCATCCATTTTGGACACTGAACCAAAGAAGAACGATTGAGAACATGACTCAATCCAATAATCAAGACTATGATGCCCGGAATAAGAGAGACATATCGCATCGCACATGCTGATAACCGGGCATTGGCCGAGTCCTGCGAGCGAGTTAGCAACAGCGAACATTCCCCCATCGATAAGAAAGACGTACCCAAACGGAATGGCAAGAATAAAGAGCATCATTTTCTTTATTCAGAAGCATCTGGATGGTTTTGGTTGATCCTTCCGATTGTCGTCCATCCGAGACATGAATTGAGTTCCCAACCACTGAAGGATAAGCTTCCCCCGCCTTCGGACGGATGCGGTAATTCACTGCCTGGGCGCGGACCGGGGTATTGCCGTGTGCCTGAGGCTATCCCAGTATCCTCACCGCCTAGAACAGTTGGGAAAGATGTACAGAATGTCTTCATTGTGTCCGAGTCTGGCCACATATATGATTGAACTAGTAGGTAGTGCTGGTTGCACCAATGCACGGTGTTACAGGGTATCCGAAAGTTGGAGTCAACACTTCAAGTTGTGCTACTTTTACCCCATTACTGTGTGTTCCACGGCTTGTTTATAGTATTCTTCCGCACAATATATATCATAACCCGTGTACTTAGTATGTATCTGATCCACTCATTTCATCGTACGAAGCAAAAATGTGGCAACGCAGTGAGATGTAAGAGCTATGACGGACCACACATGAATCCTCCCTTATTTTCTCATATCACTCTGGTAAGCAACAAGCTCCTGACGCAGTCGAGACAAGCCCTCCAGAACAGTTGCTTCGCGGATACGCTCACGAGTTCCAGGGAAGTTGAAGGGACCCCAAGCTCGGGTACCAGTGGGTGAGGCAATGCCGATATATACCGTGCCAACAGGCTTTCCATCCTGAGATGCGGGGCCAGCGACTCCGGTTGTCCCAATTCCCCACGCTGTTGCGCTGTTGCCACAAGTTGTGATTTTGCGAGCGCCGTCGGCCATCTGGGTTGCGACACTGGGGTCGATTACACCCCGAATAGTGATCAGTTGTGGATCGACGCCCAAGAGCTGCTGCTTGAGAGGTGTTGCATAGGATACCACCCCGCCCCGGAATACTGCACTTGAGCCTGGCACAGAGGTGAGTGCGGCCATCACACCACCTGCTGTCAGGGATTCTGCGACTCCAAGTGTCTGGTCAGCCTGCCCAAGCATTTGGATAACGTCGGTAGCTATATCAAGGAGCGTTTCGGTGCTTCGCTGTGTGTAGGCTGGAATGGAAGCCATCGTGGATTATATGGTAAAAGATCTGAGATAATGATGCTGGGATAAGTATGAAGATAGTATTACCGTGGAGGGGGCATCTCTTAATATACTGCGACCGGAACTTGGGACATTGGGGAACTTTAACAGATACTAGGTTGATAGATTAGATGCATGCAAGATTCCAGAGCCCCTTTGAACACGTAGATACACAATAAACTATAAAAACCTACAGGCTCCTATTCGTACATATCCGAAGGCTGCACCCGTTGCTGTACAGAATAAGAGCTTCAACCAGCCAATGCTTACTTTCACTGAAGCAAGGTAACAAGCTTTCTAATAGTTAAACGTGCTTTTAGTATTCGGACAGGCCAATACAAGGCTACATAATTGTCTCGCCGACCAAAGGATTGCGGGATTACGAAGCAGTGCTGCCTAAAACCTTGCTATTGCTATGACCGGCATTGCTCCCCAGGGACGCCAAAGCAAACAGTTGCGTGTTGTTTTCTCACTTTTATTTCTTTTACTTTTCTCATATAGCAGCAGCAATTGTAAATAAGCTACTCTGTAGTGCACAGTCATAGCAAATCAGAAGTCTGATACGGAGACTGCTGACACCTCAACGCGTGCGTTCAGGGTACTTGTCAAGCTTACCCCCTGCGCAATTGATGGATGATACCTTAACTACAAAAGCCCCACAAGGATCTATTCTGGATTCTGGTGGCCTAAGAGGTGCATGGACTAACCTGACTTTGGTACTGTAATTCCTGCCTAGAGCAGGCTGAATATTACACAGGGCTGTGATTGTTTCTCAATCTTTTATCAATGTTTTAAGAATTGAGTCTTTCGTGGCTAGGCTGAGTCAAGAATTAATCACATCACATAATTACGTTAGCGCTGGAGTACATATAGACTGAAAGAGAACTCATGTGTTTACAATTCTGTGCCTAGTGTTTACTCCGTGAGCCCGTCCTCTTCTTCTCATGTCAATGATCATGACCCACTTCATGAAATCAGAAGAGAGCCACGGTCAGCTTCCCAGCATGGTTCTAGACCATAGTTGCTCTGATCACATCCACCTATTGCCGTGCCCCTGCGGCTAGAACTCTGCCGCTGATCGCTGTAAGAAGGAAGATAACACGCTGTCCAACCTCGATGGCAAACGTTTGATAGAACTCAAAATTTACCACAATGACATAGAGCCATCGAAACAATGTACCGCGCTCCCGATCTCGCAGGTCAAACTCTATAAAAGACGGGATGTCAACAGGAAGGAATTTGAGTCCTGGGTCGATAGACCAATCGAACCCTACGTGGCAGGTTGGGCACAATTGAAATCTCTGCGCCGGCCTGTGTCTGAGTACAAGACCCACACTTGTTAGTTACATGATGGCTATGCTAAGGGGCAGTTCATGCGATATAATCGGAAGACCGGGTACAAGCTCATGAGTAGCATGGCTCGGTTTAATATCGACTACGCGCTCTCAGACCACAAAATGCGTGGACACATGGTTTGGGCTCTATGCAGTATATTTCAGTACTCGAATGGTGTACAAGAGGGCATTCGACTCGTACGGGAGATTGAAGATGTTTGGCATTGCGATTGCAGCACAGACAGCAGCCTTCAAACTAAATTTATTGGGTGGCCGGAACCCAAAGTTGATGAACCCACACAACCGAGGACTTTTGTATAGTCCAGAATAATGGGCATTATGTTTCTTTGAATAACGTAGAATTATTTGTATAACCGTTGTGTAGGCGAAGTATGGCTTTGTCACCCTTCTCGAAGGCGATGGCCTTTTGCTTTGTATCACACTGACGTTTCATGCGCATCGCTACCAGTGCGAGGGCGGCGACTGCAGAATCCTGAGCAATAAAAAGAGGTTCACCGTCGATGTCGTGTTGAAGATTATCAAAGCAAGGGATGAACGGTGCAACTGCTCCATCCTCGGAAGCTGGCAAGCTCAACTTCACCAGTGCCATTATAGTGGAGTCTGTCGCCTTGATAAAGGCAATATGCTGAGAGTTGGCAGAGACCGATTCCAAAGTTACTGCTCCCAATATCTTGCCCGGATATCGGTTAACGAGGTAGGGATTGTGTCAGGCTATATTCCCTCCTGGTAGCGCGTAAGCCTTTGGATGTCACAATCCACCATTTATTCTCCACCGTTGCGAAGATACTCCAGGTATGATGCATGTGTGAAAATGATCCTCGCCTCGAGTTTGGCGAATAACGTTTGGGCGTGATGTTCCATGGTGCCATTGGCCTGGAGCTTGACCTATTGTCGCCCCATCAACATTACCCATCGAGTCATCGTCTTTCCCTGTTGGGTTCGGTATGAGCCTAGGTTGCAAGTGGAACTATTAAGGAAATTAAACACCTGGCGTCGGAGCTTCTGCGCTTCTTCACGCTTATGCTTGTTCTGTGCGTCCTCCGAAGTATAGTCTATCCATCTGGCATTGAATCGAAATGCTACATGTTTTCGACTCTCCTGATCAGCCGAGAAGTTTAGCGCGAGGCTGCAAGCGAAGAATAGGAGTTTCCTGTCTTCGTTTGTGAGAAACGGTGCGTCATAATCAAGACCAATTCCAATGCCCCCGTTTATCACAAAATGAACGACAAGGTAACTGTCTTGCATGTCGTCTCGATTGATGCCCCTTCCCAAACCGTTCTTTAACGGACATGTTAGCAACTTCATACCAGTGACGTGGCTGAGGGCGTGAAGTTCCAAGAAAGCCCGATGAGCAGACTTGCTATCGAGTCTAGCTGTAAGCTCAATGACGAGCTGGCGGGAAACCTTTCCGCCTCTAACTTTTGAGACGCAGATTGACACCGGTTTCTTTTGGTAATCAGCATGCCGAAAGAAAGATATTTGCAGGTCTGTTATCAGTGCCTATGATTCTCAGATAGAGTTGACCATAATTCCACTGAGCTCCATTGAACTCCTTAGCATCAGCCTTTTCTTTGGCCTTCGTATCCTTGCTTTGGGAAGGCCGCGGAACCTGGCATGTATTAATGTGCGTGTCTTTGGTGAAAGTAATTCCAACTCAGATATGCCTGGTAGAAGAACTGCTTAAACATCAAGTCCAAACGGCCATAGCCTTCCTCAAACGGCGCCAGGCTGAGCTCTAAAGGCTTATTGTGGATACCCGGGGCGGGTGTAGCGTGTTTGTCGTCGGTTTCCGACGCGGCGGCGTCTTCAACTTCCCATTCGGAGCTCATTTCGACTCTGTTGTGCCTCCAGAAGAAGACGTTACACAACGGTTCGTTTCTAATTGGTTGATTAAGTATCCCTGTACCGTCATCCCGGAAAACTTGACTTACTTTTGAACTGTCGATGTAGTTGCCAGACTGAATCCAACGAGATCTAGGAGGCGTACTTCATGCTACTAGTAACAAGAAGGCGAAGACAGAAAGACTCCTTGCCGACGGTCTCCTGCAAGTCGTTGAGCATAAGGAAAATATTACGGTTTATCCTCCGGAGCGGTTGAAGCAACGGAGACTCGTTCACCTTATCAAGCTTGCGTAGGAAAGACTCGGCACGGTGAGCGAGCTTTGAGATGGGGTAAGGGTCTGGAGACGAGCAACTGCGGCCCGTGCCGATGCAGGTAAAGCGTGGCAGATCTTCCTCAGACATGCCCAGTTCCCCGGGGCACGCAGGCCAGAGGGTCAACCATGCCGTCGGTAATTTCAAATAGTACTTTGATGCAGCGGCCACAGGGAACTTAGTCACAGTCAGCGCAACCCAGATGTATCACCAACGGAACAGGCCTTACTGGGGGCGGCGGCAGGAAATCGTACAAGGGCCGCAAGGACGCAGCCAGGCCGGCTATAAATGACTCCAACTGTCAGCTTACAATCCAGAAAAACAGCGAGATGCATACCAGGCCAATGTCACCCGAAGGGAATCCCAACAGAACAGCCACAGGGGCGCAATAACCTAATAATCCCACAAGTTAACTCTCCAAGGGGTGTGCGTACTAGAGGCTTAGGACGTGAGGATGAAGAGATGGGATGCTGAGAATTTACAGGAGAGACGACCACCAACGCAAGTGAAAGCTTTACTCATGCACACAGAATAGATTTCACTTTGTGGGTGAAGCCCCCTTTATGCTAGTGGTTTATAGTGAGCTTTCCTTCCAGATCACTTTTGTTTATCTTCACTTAGCTCTACCTTAGCTTATCATTCAATCTGGATCGACCTTTTGCCCCCGAGATATAGTCTAGTTCCTTCACCACGATCTTTTGCTTCTTTCCACTAAAGCCATGTCACGCCCTACCAGGACTCCTAGCTTACCATCATCTTCCCACATTGCACCCCGTCTATTTTCGTCTTCCCATAGCCAGAGAACTCAGGGATTCTTTTACTGGCCTGTTTCTGTAGGCGTCTGCTGGAGTTAGTGGCAGATATCTAAACCTACAAGAGCAAAGTCATAAGCGAATTATGATCTCATCTGACTTCACTTCATATTTACATCATGTGATTCGAAGGACCAAAACTTCCACCCCATCTCAGCCTCCATCGTTCCTTCTAACCTTTGCATACCACAACTCTTGACCGTCATGCATCCTTCTTTCGAGTCCCCTTTCTTTCGCTCCTTGTCAGCTCCTTCAAACATGTCGTCGGTAACTTCAACGCCTCAAGCTTCGGTATCTGAGGCTCGTATACTCGTACAGGGTCTCATTAGACAAGACACACCCGACGATGAAGCCCAACGAAAGTTAGACAAGACCATCGAAACGATCAAGAGATATCTCTCAAGCCGCCATCGGGAATCCAGTTTTGACCTTCCACTCCATCACGAACTGATACACTCCAGACAGATCACTCGGCTTCTTGACAACGCTGGAGCGAGATACTACTTCCACGAAGATAATCTCTTTATTTATGCATTGCCTACTTCTATCCATGAGGCCTTGGGGTCATTTATTATTTCGTGCTTCTCGAGACTGAAGAACGAGATCCTTACGCCGGAAGAAGGGAGAAATCTCCATTGCGGAGCTCCCTCACTGCATCTTGATGGTAAAATAAAAGGCAAAGGCACCAAGCGTCAGGCATCAAACAAATCCCCCGACCTTTCATTTACGTTCTGGGACCCACGGGCATGCCGTCGCTACCGTACCGTTATGTTTGAATCGGCCTTCAGTGAAACATATGATGATCTTATACGGGATATGAAGCAATGGCTCCTCCATGGTCGTGGCCAAGTTCAGCTTGTTATCCTGGCAGATTGCAATGAGGATAAGAAACAGCTATTGAACCACCAGAAGAGTGATTCATTTAGAGCCTGTGCCGCTAAGATTGTGAAGGGCTTCGGGGACCCGCGTGGACAAAGTAAACATTACGCCACTTTGTCACTGACGGCACGCAACGATGTTCACCAGGACCAAGCAACAGAGATCCCCAGCGCCACGATCAAAGAACTAGATTATGATATTGTTGATGTTGTACGAGTCGAGGATTGGATCGGTCCAATCACCGCCGATTTGGAATGTTGGGTGCTAAAGGACTCCAAGCCTTATAGAAGAGGCCGTGTTGTGCGTACTTCACCTATAATAATTTCCTTTAGTTGCAGCCACAGCTAAATATAATGACTTTTTATTAGCGAGTGTTCCCTGAGCTGACCGGAAGCTTACCTCCTATCTACGCTGGCGATATAATCCCCTTGCCCTGCCAAGATAGCTTGCCGAATTTTGATGCGTCACGAAGGTTCTACTTGGACCCCGAGGAGTTTCGACGTCATTTACTTCAAGGAATGCATGATGACGCTGTTGAGCGCGCATATAAATTTGCATGCTCAGAGAGTTGGGATGATGAAGATGGGAATTATGAGGAGTAGCCGCAGGCATGAATCACTCTGATTTATACCACATTCTTAGACTAATGCTTAACGTCAATGATGGACAGCTGCGATGGAGAAGGTACGCTGAGTGTGGCTGCCACTAATCGCTGGAGTCATGTCTTATGAGCTTTGTAGCTGTTTAATTCATCGTTATGAAATAAGTGACATGTGAGAGCGTTCAAATTGGTGTCGACAAAGGGAAGTAGATTGACGCCAACCCGACTTCAGTATGCGGTTTAGACTTTTTCGGTCGTTCTTTGACTAAGGCTACTAGTGAGAACGAAGAAAAACATAGCCATCCTATTCTTTCCTGATTCTCGAGGACGAAGAAAATAAGACCAAAAATAACAATAAAAAAGCCCCGAGTTTAATCTTCTTTAATGACATCTCTTGTTCCCAGTAAACCTCTAGTTTGATCCGTGAAAAGGAATAATATGATGAACTATTGTAATATTCTTTGCAGCAAAGACAGTACGATCTAGTAAATGAACATTGATGTAACGGCTAAACCGTGGACTGCAATAGAGACCGCCTAATGTACACAGTAAAATGCTAGGAGTCTACAGTGAGAACGGGACTTGTGTATGATAAAGACAAAAATATAAACTCGAGGGAAGTTCTTGAAGAGCTCGGAGCTGCTATTTCTGACACAGGACCACATCGGTATGAGTAAGACATCTCGCCGAGGCTCTTCTGAATGCTGTGAGCAAGCACAGAACTGAAACTCTAGAACTTATATCCCTTGGTTTCGCCCTCGTGTCGTATTGTATGTACGAAGAGGTCATTGCACTACGTGCTATCATGAACAGGCTTGCCAGGCCTGGTTTTACTGTATCTACTCATTAGTTAAGAAGAGAGTATTAGAAATTCATGTAAACTATCCCTTGGCAATATTATGCGGTACGTTCAAAAAACACAGGACCCCATCGACCACTATCCCACTAGCCGCTGAAGTCCAAGGAATGACTCGCGCCCAAAACGCGCTCTGCGATGAATTCAAAGTGTTCACGGACATAGGTCCGGTCGTAGTACATAGATAAATGCCAGATACTAAACGATATTCGGAAAGAACAAATGACTACACTATATATGACAGTGACTTTCGTTGAACATTCCCCTTAGCAGATTTTCGTTCACCCGCTAGATAATGGTATCTTCACTATCCACTACCCTTTCACTATCGACGGCATCCTCATAATTCCTCATTCTGGCCCACGGTTCTGCAAGCCCTAGACTGTTCATTCATCATTCGGCTAGTTACTCTAGTTTAGGGAAAGCCGCAGCTAGAACATCGGCACGCAACATCCGTGACCCTGGAACAGGGGGTGTCGCAGTACAAGGCATGCCCACAGTTGTACTTGACACACATCTTGGTAGAGGACTCGCTGGCGGTATCGGGAAGAAAGAAGGTCTTCCGGACTTGTTTATCGGGTAACTTGGTAGAGTGATGTATCCCCTTAGCAACTGCCCCTATAAGAAGGCGTGTGATTTGGCGATTTATAGGTGAAAGATATACCTGGATATGTGTCCGATGGAGACTTCAAAAGAGCACGCGGGGCTGTCTGGAGTTGCAAAAGATTCGATGTGTTAAACTGTAGGCGTTGAGAAGTAGTGTAGCTAGGAGCTGGTGAGCAGTACTCTTATATATGGTAAGAAGTGATGGTCTACTGAAGTGATATACAGGAAGGAAAAGAGTGTGTCGCCTGATACAGCCTGCTGACGGAGTAGAAGAAGATGGGCAAGGCTGAACTTCGAGCCTAGCTCCAATAGCATCAGTCAAATGCATATTAATATTTGATATCCTCCACATGACCTTTCCACATTTATGCATGGTGCCCAAACCAGCCTACTTATACCTGCTTACCTAGCTCGTGTACGTGAGGGGTGGCAGCTGGGCGAAATCCTTCGATCCTGTAGGATTACACCGTGCGCTCGGGCCAGCGACGGGCCCAGTCTTTTGCATTCTAGATTCAAAAAATTAGAATTTATGAAAAATACTGATCCTCACTATCATGGCAGCTTAGAGCCTCCGGATAAAAGAATATTATGCCAGTTTATAGTCCAATCCGTTCAAATAGACATCTATGGCAGGGCCGCGCCCTGCTTGGCAGTTCATACACTTCGATGCACGTGCGTGGTCGCACTCATGAATGTTTTTCTATATGTATTTATTCTTCTCAGGAATTATATTCTGTGACTTGCCTGTTTTCTTTTAAAGCCATTGATACCCGTTTCAAACAAGGGCGGTCTCCACTGCTTGCATATCTTGACGATAAACAATAGAATGTTTCGAGGATAGTTAGATTTGGAAAGAAAGTAAAATATACCTTCACACACTCTGCTCCAGAATACTAACTCTTTGCTGTATTGTAGCTATTCGCTTCCCCCCCGGGCCGTCGGCTCTCCAACCGACCCAAGGAGGTGCCGATGACTGCATATATGCCAAGAGAATAGACCATCTAACGGTATAAGTATAGTCACTCGAAATGCAGATCAGCACATGAAGAATATTCACTTACTTGTCACCCTGCCACCGATCGCGACCACTCCCTCCGTAAACAGGAACTCAGCCTCTTGCCAACGGTGCCGTACATCGATGTGCTATACTGGCGGTGTTGTATCTTCAAATCTGTCGCTGGACATTACCATCACCAACACTGATCACTTCAGCCGAGTGGTTCAAGTAACGTTGCATTTCCTCCTTACAAGACTACAAAAATCCGAAATCATCGAATGGCCACCACAAGAGTATGATACTTGGGGGTTAGACTCTGGATACTACTACTGGTGCAACGGCACATTGGTGCAGCTCAGGTATCGCACTTAGATGAACCCGCGTGGACTCTCTTGGATCTATAGCTCTTTAGTTGGCCCATGTGACTACTCTATGGGCATATACGGCGATTGGCCGAGTCAGCCGGAGCCCATCATACTGGATCCTGATGGTTTTTCCAATGCTCTTCCAGTGCTCACCCGTTAGAACATAGCTGGGATAGAAGGTAATATAAAACCCATAAGTAAGCATAAATAGTTGCAAATAGGTAAGATAGTTCCATTTCAACACTTAACAAGAGCCGCTTTCCCGTCGGGGGCCAAAGCGATCCACCCCACAGCTGTGACAAGATTAGAGTTTCTAGTGTGCGGCCCGGTTGATCCCCGGCGGATTCCCCACAATTCAATACAAGGTTAAGCTTAATTTGTTGAAATACTCGGTATCATGTTCCCAAAAAAAAAATTAAGCAATAGTTGGATTTGACAAGACTAAAACCAGGTTTCCATGACGATCTAAAGGCATTCACTCAGTCTTAACTTTTGTCGACCCTTCCAGGTATAAAAGGCTCAGAGATGTGGTATGCTATATGGTAGAAGCCGCTTCATGAAAGTTGTGGCCATTAACTCTATAGGGTTTCATTCAGGACGGTGGCCGTACAAACCATTTTGACCGTGACTGTCATGGAGATTTCTGCCTTATTCTCAACATCTCTTTCTTCTGTACCCCAAGTGTCATTTTTCAAGCCGTACACTGGCCTGGAGCTCTATCAGGCACTACAGGTTTTCTCCTAATATATGCTTCGTCAGATTATCTCAACAGTGTCTGGCAAGCTGAATAGCCCACCTTGCGTGAATAATTATCACTGATGCCTCGAACAGGGCAGGATCACTTTCATCCCGCCTCTAAAACTAGTTCACAAATGAGCCCCAGCGGTCTAGGGTGGATCATTGTCGACAGCCTAGATACATTGATGATTATGAACCTGACCATGCGGCTTTCCGACGCCCGGAAATGGCTTCACCGTGGCTTGACTTATAATCAAGGTCAGGGTGTAAACACTTTTACGATGACCATCCGCATGCTTGGAGGACTCCTGTCTGCCCATTACTTGTCTAATGTGCTTCCGGACGTTTCCTCCCGTCGAGACTATGTATATCTGTCCAGAGCTGTCGATGTAGCAGATCGGCTGCTTGGTGCATATGGCTCCACGTCAGGGATTTCATATGCGAGCGTTAATGTTGGGACCCGGGAAGGGCTTCCCTCTCATGCAGATGGAGGTGCTTCATCCACGGCTGAAGCCACCACACTCCAATTGGAGATGAAGTATCTAGCCCATCTCACCGGGAAAGTGGTTTAATGGTGTAAGGCCGAACACGTCATGAAGGTTATAGATGATCATCGCATGCAGGATGGCCTTCTCCCGATCTTTGTGCACCCGGATACTGGACACTTCAGGTCCAAGGAAATTCGTCTTGGGAGTCGCGGGGATTCATACTATGGTATCCTCGCATAGCAACCTCTTTCACTGGAAGGGGAAGGGGCTGATGTGAATACAGAATATTTAATCAAACAATATTTCCAGACTTCTGGACAGGAGCCAGTCTACCGTGAGATGTGCGAAAAGGCATTGTCCGGGATACAAAAGCATTTAGTGACCTCTACAAAGCATTCAAAGCCGCAGTTTATTGCCGAGTTGCCACATGGCATAGCTGGGCCATTATCCCCTAAGATGGATCATCCTGTTTGCTTCCTACCAGGCTCCATCGCGATCGGCGCGACTGAAGGGCTAACTGAGAAGGAGGCGCGAAATATGCCGGGCTGGAATTCTCAGAAAGAGCAACAGATGCAACTGGCACGGGAGCTTATGAAAACATGTTGGACGGTGTATGCAGTCACGGCCTCTGGTATATCTCCAGAGATTGCCTGGTTTGAGATCGACGAAGTCGTATACAACCATCATCTCGTTCACCAACCATGGCTAGAAGTAACGACAATAAGTCCTCCTGGGAGCAAGACCTGAACATCAAACCTCTGGATGCACATAACCTGCAGCGACCAGAAACCGTTGAGAGTCTTTTCTGGATGTACCGTGTCACCAACGACCCCATCTACCGAAAGTAGGGATGCGAGATCGTTAAGGCGTTCAAGGAACACATCTTTGCACGATGTTGTCAAGGTCCCCAAACCACAATGTGATAATATGGAAAGCTTTTGGCTGGTAAGAAGCAGATTCTCCGGCCTTGACTGGCTGAGTTCGAAGTTTGGTGGCACTACCTCATTATAGGCCGAGACCCTGAAGTATTTATATATTCTTTTCTCTCCAAGGGAATTTCTCCCGCTCACCGAAGTGGTTTTCAACACTGAAGCCCATGTGTTTCCTCGATTTAATCAGGCCAAATTCTAGACAGGCTGGAACCGTCGCGAACTTTGATGTGTTGGAGCAAGGTGAATCATCCCCGAATGTAAGCAATGATTTGGTATTCTGTTTTTTCGTCTTCTCTTTCTCTGTTTTCCTTTTTTTATCTTGTCTTTTATTTTACTTTTAGTCAATATTTGGCTGTCGCCTGTTCAAGATGAGTCATTGAGTTAGATCTGTTGTTGCAACGATCACCCAATGTATATAGCAACTGTGTCACGGGCCTGGCCTGAAAAGAGAATTTTGGGATAAAAAGAATCTAGTCATCAGTAAATTTTGGCACCTCGATATCTGAATTCTCAAAAACGGCCTTCCAGTGCGCGCGGACAGTGTCGCAAAGTCCACTTTTCGACTTCCAAGTCTCAAAGACGGACTCCATTGTGCACGCCACCGACATGGTCTCCTCCCAGAATCTCCGCTCAACATCAAACCCAAGCCGCCTCATAGCCTCTGGTGGATAAGTCCACAATCTGGTAGGATTTCCATCAAACCCCTGCAACTTCGCATCCAGAAGGTCCTTCCCGGGGTTGAATTCTGGAGCACCCGCATGAATAAAGTAGACACGAGGTGGCTTCGCCACGGATGGATCCCGGACTCGCCATTTGCCTTGGCTTGTCAGATCATAGTCTTGGATCGGATCTGCTTGGACGTATCCTGCGTTGATCGCGGTCTGCGAATTTCCGGGCTTCAGGTTTCCGAGATCAACCACAGTCTCACTGACGGCGTAAAAGCTCTGGTTTAGGGCGGTCGCAGCGTGGAGGAAGGTGTCTTTGTCACCTGCGCCCGGTGCACCCTGCCCGAGAAGGGAGTAATAGTAGTTGGGTCCGTAGTAGTTATAGTAAGCAGCAAGGAGTAAGCTACGGGTATGAGTTGACTTGGAGATAAGCATTATCCCGGCTTCAGTAGCTTGTCGTGTTGTCGAACGGGGTTCGGGCTGACGCGAAATGTTGAAATATACTGGGGCAGCTGTATTGGCCCAGAAGTCTGGCCAGGTCACCAGGCCGGTAGATGCGAACGGTTCAGATTGGAGTAGTGCCATCGGGTCATGGAGAGGGGCGCAGTCGGCATCCAGCCATAGCAACTTCTCAAATGAAGAAAAAAGCATGGCGAAAGACTTGATCTGGAACCCCTCTATTGGCTGGATCCTCGCGGTCTCGTTCCTATCTGCCAGTATCTCAGAAAGTACCAAGCACTTTGCCCCCAGATGGGGTAAAACCACCTCACAAATATGTGCTTCATACTCTGTCCGATCCTTCATGAAGAGTTCCACTGGTAACGTGGATCCAGTCCGGCGCAGCAACGATAGAGACACCACGAAAGTAGGCAAATATGTGCCTCCGGCTGACGACACGATGCCTGCTGTTCCCGGAACGAAGGCATCACCGATATCAAAATTGTGAATGGCCTGAACAAAGCCATCGTGGGCTGCCTGCATGGGCTGTAGGATTTCATCCACGTTGGTAAGGAGGTTTCGGCGAGGAGTCTCGTGTACTGCGTCAAATCGTGGGAGGCCTGGGCTGCCGTTCTGCATCGGTCTGGGGCAATCGGGCACATATCTTTCTAGTAAGGGATGTAGATGTTGCCATAAGCGAGACCGCCTCTCTTGTAGTGGACGCACTAGATTTGGAGGCTCCTTATGCCAGAAATAATATGCACTCAGGAGGCAGAAAGCAGCCAGAAACGCCGCAGCGATGGTTCTGCGGCGGGCCAACATTCTGTCGAGGTCGCTGAGACATGGACAGAACCCAAGAGAGGCGCGACAAAAGAGAGGGGAATTAAAAGGAGGCTAGAGTGACAGGGGACCCTGTCTTGTATCACACGCTAAGGCTGACTAGTAGCCAATACTCCACACGTTTTGTCGTTGACTGGTGCAAGCGCAGACACTGTTGGCTGATCACCCCGGTCTCTATTCCTGTTCCTGATAGGGCTCAGTTCCCCCCACTAGGGAGGAGCGATGTTATGTCCCGAAAGCTTTAGCCTGCCCGCTATGTTTTAATTAATTCGCTCGCGTTGTAACCCCCAAGTGCTGCTTCCGAACACCCGACGTTCCACCCTTTCAACAGGTGTACGGCGAAGATGAGAGATATCACTGCTATTCCAATGCTGGATAAAGCTTTCAATAGACTGATGTAGCTTCAGCGCACGGTGTATTATAAGATATAAGGAGTTCTATTGGATCTTATAGTTAAAACGGAAAAGAATTACTGATCTGGTATGAAGTCGCTACGAGAATTAAAACTTTTTCCAACAGTCAAAGTTAATATGACATTATGTTTATAGTAAAACGTGTTTTTCTTGTTATTCCTTATCTATCTTACCTATTAAAGTCAAGAAAGCTGTTGATTATAGAACTGCTTGGCAGCTGGAAGATGTCCTATTCTAGATCTGTCAGCAGTCAGACAGAATTCCCTGGCGAACCAAATATATATATTTATTTGAACCTTGAGAGCTTCTAAAGATTTAATACATTGAAAGCAAAGATATATATATACATCAGGTATAGCTGTATAGATTATTGTTCGGCATAAAGATATTTAATCATCCCTTTACAATATAAAGATATTGAGAAATCAGCTTTTAAAAACATCGAAGTTTGGGGTAAAACGAAGGTTTAACGGAAACCTTTGATGTAGAATTATACCCCCGTTCTGAACCCGCACAGGCTTTAGCTGATATGCCGCAATTCCCTGGTAGACTCTAGTGGCTATATATTCTAACCTAGGATCTAGGTACATGTTCCGGAAATGATGAATGACCTGTAGCAGTGGTGCCATCCAGAGGACGATGGTACAACGTACAAGAATTTACTGACATAGTTCATCTACGTAAACCAGCAATGGATAAGGACAAAGTTTTGTTTGCATGTTAAATACTTGATATTATGTGAGAAAGTACCATGGATGGTGGAGTCATTCAGCGTCTAGGCGCAGCATTTCCAGCGTCTTAGACCACAGCCTTGTCTCACTGTTCTGGTCATACGCCCATGGAGCATAGCCGGGTGCAAAATTTCCTTTACTTGGATCGTGCGGCTCAGCAATCTGACAATTGTCTAGATACTTGCCTCCCTGACCTTCTAGTTCTCTTGCCACGGATGCCCACACAGTCGTAGCTGCTCCTTGCTCGGGGCTCTTCCAATACCTCGACAAGACATCATTGTCAGCCCAGTCAGCCTTCTGTTCATCTGTGACATGACGGAGCAGTTCTGTTTGAATCCCGCCGGGGTGCAGGCTGAAGGCATGCAGCCCCTGGGACCCGTAGCGCCTCTCAATCTCGTTGGCGGCCCACACTAACGCGGTCTTGCTCTGGCCGTAGGCCTTCCACGGCTCATACTCCCCACTGAGACTAATATTGTCGAAGTGGACAGGAGAGATTCGGTGGGCGCTTGAGGCAACAATAACGACGCGAGAGGCGAAGTCAGGCGTGGAAGAAGCCAGCAAGAGATGCCTCAGCTTGTAAAAGAGTAGGAAGTGTGCAAGGTAGTTACTTCCGAACTGTGTTTCAAATCCATCCACTGTTCGGCCCTCCGGGCATGCCATCACACCGGCATTTTCGATCAGGACGTTCAATGTCGGGCTTTTCGATGTAAACTCCTCAACACAGTCCTGAACAGATGCAAGGGAGGTGAGGTCCAGATGCAGGATATGGACACGGGGACTGTCAATGATGTCACTCAAGGCTTCCTTGACTTTGTTGATATCCCGTGCAGTCAGATAGAGAGTGGCACCCGTCTTGTAGAGCGCTCGGACGGTGGGGATACCCAAGCCCGATGAGCAACCTGTGATGAGGATAACCTTTCCGGCAAACGCATTTTCAACGCCTTCGTCCTTGACAATCTGCAGCGCCGTCGGACGGGCATCTCCAGGGCCCTCGGGGCGTTCGTGTACCGCAGAATATCGTGAAGCCATTACGGTTGGGGGGTGAGTGCAAACCTTGGGTAACGACAGGCCTGAGCATGTAAAGTTTTCGGGCTAGGGAGATCCATGAGATTTGGGCCTTTTTAATTGCCTGGTAACAACCTAGAAAGCACAATCATGATGTCAGGGCTTTTGAGATTGTGTCATATGCAATCAACCAGTGTTTGGTTATGGTTAACGTTTCGGCCGACGAGCTTGGGCCATTTATCGGCGCCGAAACGCAGCGCCGATGGCTGGACCGAAGGGAGAAGAGTTTAAATCGTCTGTTTTACGTCAGCCGTACCAGGAACTAGTTAGTTAACTAACTAATTAATCGGGGCTTGTTCTCTCTGGTTCGGCATCTCGTAAGTCCGAATAGGGAAAGCCGAACTACTTAACCTTAAACAACACGGGATATCCAAGTTCGATCCTGATCTAGGTTTCCCCAGATCAACTGGAGCACGACGAAGATTCATCGCGTACCGGTATAGAAAAGAATAGTCTCTCTTGCTTTGAGAGGCTGTGTTATATTTTAATTTTCTCTCTTTCGGCGTTTGTCGGAGCATTGAAGAAGGCACTGTGTCATGCTGTACGTCGCCAGGATATACCAGATGCATCTTATATGTAATGATGCCGAATGACCGCGGACCTTTAAACTATATCTCAGCAAGTCCGACTGAAGTTTGAGACTGGTCGGCTATTCCAACTGATTCGATTGTACAATTCCCGCTTCCTCTAGGGGCTGTCGCGTATGAAACGGAATGGGCCTTAATAGCAACGCGAAAGCAAGCCTCATTGCTGATAGTAATTGTGGGCCTCTCCTCTTCTCCTCTCGACCGCACCCTGGCAGACATGGAAGTGTCTGCTAACAACAATACGACCATGCCGTCTGCCCGACCTCGTCGAGCCCGGCGTGCCCCAATGGCTTGCGCACGTTGCCATGCCCGCAAAGTACGATGCGATGTAGCCTTTCAGGGCTCGCCATGTACGAATTGCCGTCTCGACGGGTGTGAATGTCATGAAAGGGGGCATAAAGAATCAAATACACCGCGGAGGCAACCGCATCAACACCGCGCATCCTATCTCCATTCCAAAGTGGAGAAAACTCGCTCTAGTGCAGATACCCGATCGATGCGAGGGAGCTTGTCCTCTATCCTATCCCACGGCCCCCGCCATGCTAAATCAGAAAACGGTAGGTATTGTTGCGTCCCGCTCTGGTCGCCTTTGTTAATATATTACTGGCTAGGTATATACTCGCAGCTACCGTTTGCTTACTACGGCTTCCTCAACACATCTACTCTGCAGCGCCTGGATGAAACGCATATCAGATTTCTGGAGGAAAAGGGCTGCCTGCATTTACCACCCAGAGTCGTGATGGATATCTTCCTGCAATACTACTTTTTATATGTCCATCCATGTCTCCCCATACTTGATCAGGCTCAATTTTTGTTTGATTATCGCCACCCAGAACAGTCCACATGTCAGTACTCGTTGCCTTTGTTGCAGGCGGTGCTCTGCGCGGCTGCTGCTGTAAGCGACCAGGGCTTTAGTCTAGATTTTGATACCAAACCGCTGACGATGTTCTAGTTTGTCCCGACTGATGTGGGAACGCGCTGGGGGTCGGTGTCTATTGTTTCTACTCGGAATGAACTCTACCAAAAGGCGAAGGTTCGTGTCCCCAGATGAGATGCTTCCTGGAACCAATTCTAACCTCTACCAAGCTACTCTATCATTCTGGTATGGAAAAGGACCCTTTGGTTCTTGCACAAACGACACTGCTGCTGAGTCTTTTCGACTGTAGCATGGACGGAACTGGTAGTTCGGTCTGGTTGTCTCTGGCGATCGGGCATGCAAAGGCTGTAAAAGCTCACCAGTTTGGTTGTCTGGCATTGGACGCCTCTGCAGACAGACATAATCTCAAGAGACTCTGGTGGTGCTGTATAGTTCGTGATCGGGCAGTCTCGTTGGGGATGCGTCGACCAATCCAAATCACTCCCGACTTAACTCCCGTAGGCGCAAATGGTGCCCTGTCACTTCAGGACCTGCAGAAACGTCAAAACCTTTCCGAGGTGTATTCATACGAGGTGCAGTGTGAACTACATAAGATATTCATTCGACAGTGTCACCTTGCGGTCATAGTGACAGACTTGCTCATGGTATTATATCCAGACCCCAGGGAAAGCTTACCAGAAGCGCCTAGTTCTGGCTCTGGCCCGTGGGAGCAACTAGGGAGGTTTGAATTGAGATTGTCCCTTTGGCATACGGAATTCATAATCGCCAGTGAACATGACTTGCCTGTTAGACATGACTCAATCTCTCTTTTGCTCTCCCTAACGTCAATATATTATCAGTAAGCTTAAGGACCACGCTGTCCAAAGAAACCTAAATTTACAGATTCTTACAGAGCAACACGAATGGCTATGTGCAGCTACTCCACAAGATTGGTCTGCTGTTTGCACACTACCCCGGCGCGTGAGAATACCCTGGAGTATTATGGAAATGAGCTTCGAGACGCGGTAACTCAAGTTACTACAGAAATAAGTGACTTGATCGAAGCGGACCTGGCAATGTTTGTTCCCAATAACTTGTACGTTTCCTACCTTACTGTCTTACCGCACATGGTCTACGATCTATTTCTGGAAACGATTGGGTCAGTCCACCTATACCATATCTAACATTGCTCCACAGAATGCAGTTATTCCTCCTGCCGATGATCCTATGGGGTATCAATTTAGTCCTGTCCCCCACGCCGCTCCTACTGGAGGAAAGCACGAAGAACCTCTCACTTTTTAGGGCCATGAATCATTTCTATGGCTTGCGGGTTGATGTCAAGCCCTTATCAGTTATGGTCAAGCACACGCTTGATTTTATAAAGCCGAAGATCATCGCGAACGCTCTCGGGGCGTCCGGCGCTACACCTTCTTGCTTCTCTGACTTCTTCCGGCAGGACCCACAGAGCTACTGGGAATTGTGTCTTCACCTCGAACGTTTATTAGCCGACAAGGTGGGCAGGGGCCGTGTAGATGATCTGTCCACTAGCACACCGACTCAGGAACCTGAAATAGTTACTCCGATCCAGCCAGATCCATCGTGTTTGGACACACAGGCACACGGCCTTTGCGTGATTATCCCGGAAGATCCACCCGACCTCGAGCCTTGGGACATACTGAGCAATGGTGAGCAGGCCGTAACGGATATTCCCAGTCGCCAACAGCAGGGGCTACAAACAGACTTCCAAATTGCTCAAGATTTTAAGATATTTCATGATGCTTATCCCGTTCCATATGTATAACTATAACTTACCCCATCTATGTACAGGTTTTAATTTGGTGTCCAAAGTTTGGATCACGAATATAATGGATAAGCGGTTGCAATCTTATAAGTTTAATGTGTTCTCCAGGTCTCAACATGGCAAACGAGCCTTCAGACCAACACGATGGCCACAGCTTTTAATTTCTTGTCCTTTCTGCCATTGCTTTAGATCCGCGTCTTCCATGACAACAGCATTACCGAGCCGCCACAGTTTAGGCAGCTCGCGATCGTCTATATGACAATTCTCCAAAATCTAGTTCGCAAGCGTATACACTGGAGATCTCAAGAAATATATGTAATGGTCTGGAACATCATATGTGCGTACAGGAAGACACAACAAGAGCAACAAACAACAAAACAAGACTGGCCAACGATCTAACACCCGTAGGTATCGGCTGGTAGGAGGCATTGGTGGGCGACGGGTGGAATGAAGTCATTTATGAAACTGAACGAAACGGCCACTGTATGAGGCCTGGGGTTTGACTGTTAACCACTATATTCCATCAGTATAGCATCCCCGTAATAAGTTTTTAACCATCCTCGCTAATTACCACCACCCGACATTGATATTCTTTGTGGATGGTGGTACCGTATACTCTCAAGGTCACCGCCATGAGAATATAGTGACACGAATGTAATCCGATCAAAGGAATCTATGAAAGCAAAGTTTGCATAACCGACATCCTTGGCTGTGACCATCAGGGAGGATGGGGCCCTCTCTATTCCAGTGACACGCCGTCAGGCTGCACTTCATCATCACACTGCAAGCCGACTGTAGTATTAGAACTGCTGCCAAGGAAGCTCGCTTGACTAAAATTTGGGCTGGATACCTGCAGATCTACAAGTTGGTCATCTAAGGGATCCGGGAACATCTGGATTAAGGCCTCCATATCAACATCAAATACTGTGTTGCTGGAAGCAACCGGCGACGGGTCTAGACATTGCTTTAGTTTGGACTTTTTAGCGCGCAATTACGTGGCTCACGATACTCACGCGATAGCTCAGTTATGGCGTTCACAGCCATCAGATTTCGGACTAGCTGCTCAGATCGTGTGAGGGCTGGGTTCACCGAGCTTATTTCGTTCAGCATGCTAAGCGTTGTTGTAAGCATACTATGGCTCTGGCCTCCTCGATGTAGGGCGGCATCTCTGACATGGATGGTACACGCCACATAAGCGCAGTATCCTAAGAGATAGGGGGCCTTGTACAGCGCAAAGGACTCCTTCCACCTTTCAATGATGGCTGTAATCCTGCTTGCTGCAGTCGAACATGCTCTCCAGGAATTGACCGGCGGGGACTTAGCGCGCAAGTTGCTATTGGAGACAAAAGGGCGATGCAATAGAATGATGAGGGCATGGTAGGTACTATGCAGGATCATGATATTTGGAGTGACGAGCTTATGTGCTGTGGTCTTGTCTGTAGACCATGGCTGGAAGGCCACGCAATCCGGCAGGTTGAAGTACCAGCCACAGAGCGCGTCGTCCAGTTCTTGTAGGGTTATTTGTGGTGTGGCCGGCTTAGCGCCAACTACATAGAAGTGGTTGATGATATCGGCCATGAGGTTTGACAGTAGACAGAATTGCTGGAAAGCCGATATCGTGAAAGTAGGGACTGGAGGCGGCGATTGGATTGGGTAGGTACTACATTGAGAGTCTATGTAGGGGCTCCAGCACTCCAACTCCTCCATGGTATCACGGAGCTCAGTAGAGACATGAGTATCTCGTAGATGGATGGCCACCGGCCGGCCAAAGTATAGACACTGTAATTTGTCCGAGATGAAGGCTGCCCAGAATGCTCTACGGCGGATCTCAACATCTTCCGGATACAAATCAGGAACCCGGGTGTCGAGGTGCAATCCAAGGTCGAATGCCATTCGAATGGCCAGTCCCGTGTTGATCCAGCTCTTGGACATTTCACCACGAGCGACATATACTGAACCTAGGTGTAGCAAACCTACTATTGTCGGAATTGAGGGGTTTTCCAACAGCGAATCCAGATAAAACAGTTCTTGGCACCTCCGCAGGAATCGGTTGCCAGCTGTCTGGGCCAGTGAAGGGTCATCTCGCACTTCTGTGCGGCCCGAGAATTTAGAGCCGGAGGCAAATATAGCGTTCAGCAGGAATCGTGAAAAGTATGGACCCCCTGAAACCCAGTCTCGCGTAAACGCAGGCCGATATGTGAGAAGGAAACTATGATGTTGGCGATTCCAATGGACGTCTAGCAGATGCATGGCAAGGTCCGGTGGAACCCCGTCAAAGTCCGCGTGGTTTCGCAGTTCGTATTCCTTTTGGCGCTGAATCACAGCATTCGTAATGAGCAGGTTCCGCACGAACTCAGGCGGATCGCCCACAAGCTGAGATGTTTCCAAGCCATTATGCAGGCCTGATGTAGGCCCGAAGACGCCGATGCGACCTTGATCATCTGCCGAGACGAAGGTCGAGGTTTCTAGCTCGTCATCAGATGAAACACTCTTGCATCTTTCTGTAGGTGGCTTCTGGAGACTTCTGGTGTGGGTCAGATCCCCATTCAATGTCGTCTGGCCACTACCACGCCGCTCTTTCGGCTGCTCTTTCGGCCGCTCTTTCGGCCGCTCCTCCTCCGAGTGATGCAGTGGTACATTCGGCAGCGCGAGGGCCTCACGAAGTAGTAGAGCCCGTGTTTGTACATCGGCATTCTTCATTTGGATCAAGGTTGTCTTGAACCATGCGACCTGTGCCTCCAGCATCCGGATGGTCGTTGCAGATGGCCTAGACGCGGTAAGACGGGGCTTGCATATAGACACACACACACACACACACGCAGAGAGAGAGAGAGAGATGGGGAGAGAGGAGTCTGACCTTGGCCGCGGAATAATACGTGTGTAAACACACTCCCGCTTGTGCGTTTTGCATGCCCCACAGGACGGTGTTTCCTTGTTACATTTAACCTACGGCGAATACATCAGGAGGTGACTTGTGGGTGAGGTAGGATCAGATTGGATCTGGCACCTTTCTTCCCCGGCAATTATCACAGGCGCGTGTTTCACGCCTTGGACCTTGAAAACTCATCTGGGGCTGTCTGGATGCAAGGATGCCGTGGGACGGACAGTATGTGTCCGAGGAGTTGACGGCAGACGGAGTATTTGAGCCCGGAACCAGTGTGTGGAGTGCCGATCGAAAGAGGCAATCGCCTACTTTTTGTGCCGATTTGTAAGAATTGGCTTGACCTGTTGCTCTCCCCAACGGGGCCCCATGCTGTTCGGAATAGCACTGTGGGGTATGCGGCCGATGGCAAATTAGATCGGCAATGTATATCCTCCACCTTGGGCCATTGATAGTTGACTGCATGGCTGTGGCATTTTAGGTCATAGCACGTGAGTCTTTCTACTCCTAGTTAATTGTGACAGTGCTAATTGCTCTATTCGCAGCGTGTTCCTGTGTAGCCCTTGTCCAATATCCACAAGAATGGACGCACCACCATCACCGTTGCGGTCTCTTGTAGCAGGCTGCCTGGCGGGTGCTATGGAAATAGGTGGGATTGACCCTTCATCATCCAACACAGTTCATTCGATACCCATGCCTCCCTGGTTATCTCACTGACACAAAATTACCAGCTATAACTTACCCAGCCGAGTGTAAGTTCCTAGCTCTAAAGCGTTGCGAGCCAATCCACTTAAATTCATGCTGATGCTGACAGGACGACAGTTGCCAAGACCCACTCACAGTTGAACCGGAGACTTGGGGAATCAGCAAAGCTGCCTTGGCCTCCTTTTGGTCGCGAGTGGTATACTGGCTGCACAAGTGCGATTATCGGTAACGCCGCCAAGGTTGCTATCAGTAAGTCTAGTGGAAGCCTCACAGTTAACTAGACTAACTGAGCCCTTTTGGCTAAGGGTTTACGGCGTACGAGCGCATGAAGTATCTGCTACAGGATGAGAAGGGGCAGCTCACTCCGATAAAAGTGTCCATTGCCGGCCTTGGAGCTGGGTTGATCGAAAGTGTGCTAGCAGTAACCCCATCAGAAAGTATAAAGACTTCTCTGTACGTCAGTCGAATACCTCAACTCTGGCTTGTGCTGATTATATATAGGATCGACGACCGGAAATCGGCCCGGCCGCGTATGAACGGGCTGGTGCATGGAGTGGGTGTCATCTACCGTGAAAGAGGCATCGCTGGCTTCTTGCAGGGACTCGTACCAACCACTGCGAAACAAGCCGCAAATTCGGCTACTAGATTCACTGCGTACTCGACCATTCGCGACTTGTGGCAGAGGCAACTGCCCCCCGGCCAGAAGGTGGATACAGTTGCGACCTTGACTATTGGGGCATTGGCGGGTCTGATCACTGTCTATGTCACCCAACCCATCGACACTATCAAGACTAGAATGCAAAGTATTGAAGCTCGGGGGGCCTATAAGAACAGCTTCGACGCCGCGGCCAAAGTTGTGATGAATGAAGGCTTCCTCCAGCTTTGGTCCGGCGCGGTACCGAGGCTAGCAAGACTTACGGTACGTGTGTCTTCACCCCAGGAGTATTTCCATTGCTAGTCATAGCTGTATTAGAACGTGACAGCCACTGGGTATAAAGTCGGTGCTCTAACGTTATAGTTCACAGGTCAGCGGAGGAGTAGTGTTTACAGCCTATGAAAAGATCATCGAATTCTTCGGCTGGCTGGATCCGCAGAGCCAATGGATCTAGATCCATAATGCACCTGGAGACACATGATGCTAGTATAATATGAGTGACGTTATTAGCAACGGAATGTGCTTTTGCTCAGCGGGAATTGGCTTTCAAGTCAACCATTCCTGACGCATCGCACTTGCTATTCGATCTGTCAGGGAACTCCAGGGTCTGGAACGATCCCAAATCCTCAATTATGTACTAATTCCATTTCCATGAGCTCTGTACATACTGTATTTGACTATGAAATATAATTCCAGGTTGTGGGTCGGCAATCCATATTAGTTTCTGTCTTGAGGCTCGGCTATCCCAGATAGGAAATCGGCAAGAAGATTAAATAGCCGGCAGCATCAATAATTGGCCCAAATCAGCACTAGTTTGGTTTATACTGGAATTGTTCTGGATGCCCTAACTCGAGCAGATAATTAACCTGGGTAGCTTCCGTGGCCGTCAACCTCTATTAAAGTCCTGTCTAGTGCGTGGAACTCCTCGCTTTACATTTTAAAATCTGCTTTACCATTCAAGACAATCGAGGCCACTCCCAGCAGGCAGCACGACTAGCTTTTGCTTAGAAACCCCGAACTTCTATGACCAAAGTTTGTAACCAGAAACACGTTCAAAGGCATTACCCCTATGACCCGCCTTCTGAACCCGGTGTTAACAGCATTGCTCCTCTTTAGTCATTCTCTCCCGGTCTACCACAGTATCGCCATTATGACTCAATATCAATACGAGTTTTTAGTGAGCATTCCCGACCGTCCCGGGGTACTCCCAGTTCGCATGTCCCTTCGTCCTAGGCACCTGGCGAAGTTGGGTCCTCGTGTCGAAGCTGGACAAGTGGTGTTTGGTGGCGCTATGCTCTCTCGTGAACCGGCCAAAGGCGAGGGCCCAAATGTAACTGGAAGTGTGATGCTCGTCAAGGCCAACAGCGAAGATGAAGTTCGCCAGATCATTCTGGATGATGCATATGCAGCGGATGTCTGGGATTTGGGCAAGGTCACAATAACGCCATTCAAGTGTGCTGTACGTACGGCAATTTGAAGGAAAGATAGTGACGTGTCTTAAGGTAATTCTATCTTCGGATGGAGGGATACAGATTCAAATACAGCTAGAGACATCAAAACTGTTATGGAGGCTGCGTTGCTGTTGTCTTGTGTCGTCAACTTCAATATGTAGGCTAGAATTGACCCTGTTTAATGGCCCAGCGTGGTTCCTTTCTTGAGAACAGTTCAAAGTTAATACCGATTGAGGACCGTGTACATAACGATCTGAGCAGCATCCAGCTGGACGCCATCACCTTACCACATACTGGTCCCCGTCATAAATGCGCACACAAATACAGGCCAATAGCCAAAGCCTGTCCACATGTCATCCCCGCGACCATGGTAGATTCACAGCATTAATTGATATCGCTTGACGAGGGTAGACTTTCGACGAGTGGGATGACGTGGTTGGGCGTTACCATCCCCTATGTCGAGTCCATTCGTCTTGGTAAACTACTCTGGTACGATTCAGCTTCTCAACATTCTTCGAAGGGCAGAGAGGCATTAAGCACACACGCATCCGGACAGAAAGAAAGAAATAAACGTTAGAGCTATCGGATTTTTCCTCGCCGCTATTGATTGAGAATACAGATTCATTGATCACGCCAAGATCCCGATTATCCTACTTGTACACCTAGCATCACTACAGCAAGACATTCACGCTCTTTATCTCTGTGAATGACAATAGTTCCTCCAGGCACTCCTCCTTTCCTACTCCAGATTGCTTGGCTCCTCCGAACGGGACACCGATAAAGTGTTTAGACACCTGATTAATCCAAATATAGCCGGCCTCGATATGTCTTACGATTCTCGTCGCCCTCGAGATATCACGGGTAAAGACAGAAGCTGTAAGACCATAAGCGGTATCGTTAACTGTTTTGATAAGTTCCTCTTCATCAGACCATTTGAAGATAGACATGATGGGTCCGAAGATCTCTTCTTTGGCGATACGCATATGTGGCTGAACGTCGGCGTACACGGTCGGTTCGACCCAGTAACCAAGCTCCATACCGGGAAGATGTTTTGGGATCTTGCCTCCTGTGATGAGGCGAGCGCCCTCCGCATCCGCCGAGAGAATATATGACAGAACCCGCTCCTGTGCCGCTTTGTTAATGAGAGGGCCCATAGTGGTTGACATATCTGTCGGAACCCCCGGTTTGAACTCTCTTTCGATGAATGATTTGACCTTTTCTATGACCGTTTCATAATGCGATTCGTGCAAGAAGACACGGGAGGTCGAGCCACAAGACTGCCCTGCCCAAGTGTAGTTCATCCCCCGCGCAACACCTTCGGCCAGGGCATCCACGTCCGCATCTGGAAATGCTAGCAGCGCGTTCTTGCCCCCGAGCTCCAGGAGGGTTGGCTTCAGCGTGACTGCAGCAGCCTGCTGGATGGCTCGACCGGTCGGGACGCTTCCGATCAAGGTAATCTTCTTAACTAGTGGGTGCGTCGTCAAGGCCTTCCCACAATCGATCTGGCCAGGCAGGATATTTAATACACCTGGGGGGAATACGGGGCCCAAGATCTCGGCCAGACGGAGGCACGATAGGGGCGCCTGATCTGGGGTCTTCACTACCACAGTGTTGCCTGCCGCCAGCGGTGCTGCTATTTTCGAGCCCGTGAATTGAATAGGATGGTTGAATGCCATGATGCGTCCCACGACGCCCAATGGCTCTCGCACGGTGTAGTGGAAGGTATCGTCCGATTGTGGGATGGTCTCGCCTTTCAGCATCGGGATTAATCCTGCGAAATAGTCGAGTGACGTAGCGGCGACTTTCGCATCACTCAGCATCTTTCCCAGTGGGTTCCCGGTGTTCAAGGAATCAATCCATGCAAGCTCATCGGCATGTTCACGGAGTAAGTCCGCGGCGCGGCGCAGGCACCGGGCTCTTTCGACTGGAGGGGTCGCCCGCCAGCTCAGGAACGCTTGATGGGCCGCATTTACAGCCTCGTCCACATCAGCCGCGGAGGCAACAGCCACTTTAGTAATGGGCTCGCCACACGCCGGGTTAAATGTTTCCGCATACACCCCATCTTTGGGACGGTGCCATTGACCATTGTAGAACAGGTCCAAGTGGGAGGGTAGAGAGTGTGTGGTAGACATAGCTAGGAAGATGACAGGATAGCACTTTGACGTAACATACAATCGGCGGTTACAGCTAATAATGTCTGTGTGTAGGTCTACTATTACGTTACCTTATATCTTTTTCTCTCGCTGCAGTCCGGTAAACGCAATCCGTGCCATCGTTAAGCGGAAACACTGAGGGCCAACGATGTTCGCCGGCTCTCTCGGGCCCCTTGATGCGACTGTGCTTTCTCCATATTAGGAAAGTCCGTTCAGACTTGAAACGAATCCAAATAAAAGAGAGGGGTAAGAATGACAAACGTAAAGAAATCTAATTGTCCAAAAACAGTAGTGCCGAACTGGCGGGTGTACAGGATCCGGGGGTGGATCCCACGTATAAATCGGGTAACTGGCAATGCGAACCCTAATCCTCTACGGATGAATTTTTGGCGGGCAGGTACGCCCGAGCCGGGTAGCCACAATCCGAGAGGCGGCGCTCTGTACTAGCCCGAACTGATGTTATTTTCCTTTAATAGGTCATGAAGATAAGTACGATGCTCAAGGCTGGGCAGATCACTTCTGCAGGTCGTCTCACACGAAATTGTCGGCAACTCACACCATGGTCGAGCCACATCAGGGAAACCTATTGGGGATCATCCCCAAGCCTGCCGCGCTAGTATTAGGTACGGATCTGCGGTCAAGAAGCGCTGGGAAGTTCACGGCTTGCTAATATGCCTGGCGATGTAGACATTTACACGTACGCAGCTCTAGGGGTGGCTTGTTTCATACTCTACCCCTTAGTTCACTACTATCTCGACGCAAAGAAACTGCGGCGGTTCCCAGCTGCGAGCTTCTTGGCTCCATTCACATCCCTGTGGATCGTTTCTCACTCACTGAGACGTAAGCGGTATGTGACTGTTTACGAGGCGCATAGAAAATTGGGCCCAGTGGTTCGACTGGCTCCAGACCTACTGTCGTTCTCGAACGCGAAGGCGTGCAAAGAAATCTATAGCCACGGTGCCCCCGTGGTGAAAGCCGAGTTGTACTCTAACTTGGGAAATGGCGTGCCCTCCATGTTCCAAATTATTGGGAAGGCAGAGCACGGAAAACGGAGAAAACTGCTGTCGCACGTCTTTTCCGCCAAGCAAATCTACGACAAAGAGCCCCGAGTCATCAAATTAGCAAAGGCCTTGTGCCGCAACTTGGAGATTAAAGCTCGAGGTGGCATGGTTGCGACTACAGACGAGTACCCTGTCGTGGACGGGGCTTTCGACGTGCGACCGTGGCTCAATATGTTCGCCTTCGATGTCATCACCGCGGTCTTCTGGTCGAGTCCCTATGGCTTTTTGGAAAAGGGTAATGATATTGCTCCTGCCGTAGACCTCAAGAACCGAGTCTTCAAGGTCCATGCCATGGATGCTGCCCATTCCAACACCAACTTCATTATTCCGTTCGCCCAGCTCCCACGGGCCTGGTGGAACCTAATCCAGCTTGTTTTAAGCCATACTCATGGCGCCCAATCCGCAAAGAACTTTCGATCCATGACGCGTTATGTGGTGCGGCATCGGATAGAAAACCCACCAGCGGAGCCGGATCTGTTTACGAGCTTTCCGTTGGAGCCTACTGAGAAACACGCGCACGTCCTAAACTCGGAGGAACTCCTCTCGGAGTGCTCGACAATGCTCAGCGCGGGGCAGGACACGACACAAACGTCGCTCACAAACTGCCTGTATCATTTATGCAAGAATCCTTCCAAACTCCGCAAGCTCCGCAAAGTGCTTCTAGACAGCTTGCCGCCAGAGTCGCAGCCGATCGCAAGCTATTCTGACCTCCAAAGAATTCCACTATTGAGAGCTGTCCTGGACGAAAGCTTCCGCTGCAGCCCACCCCTCGGGTTTGGCCTTCCCAGGCTCGTCACGGAACCTGGAATGACTATCCAAGGACACTTCATCCCCCCCGGTGTCGTGGTGGGCTCCCCACTCTACAACATCCACCACGATGAGAGCTTGTTCCCAGATCCCTGGAGCTTTATTCCGGAGCGATGGTTAGGAGGGTCTGACCCTGACTATAGTCCATCGGCGGAAGAAACGGAGAATCTCAAAACCTACGTCCAGCCATTCAGTCTGGGTGGCCGGTCTTGTATTGGCCGCAACATGGCATATATGGACCTCAGCATTGCCATTGCAGCACTAGTGATGGAGTTTGACTGGGAGCTACGCGATCCAGACTGCGATATTCAATACGTCGAGAAGTTAGTCACAAACCCCGCGGCCTTATGGGTGAAGGCAAAATTAAGACCTGGCATGGACATTGAGTCACAGTCGAAGAGACAAGCGGCCATGTCCGCCGGCCTGCCTAATTAACATGAACGCCCAGATGCGTCCTGATGCGCCACTCTTCTCCCCCTCCTTGTCCTTTCTTTCTCTCTTTCTTTCATTCTTTGTTGCATTCATTCATTGCCGTCTCTATATCAGAAGTTTTGTCTTTCACTCTAAGATTGCTGGCTGAAGACCAGCGTACTACTGTAGACTAGGCGTTCTATGGCGATGTTATTCCAGCGTGTGCCTCCTCAGTTTACCAGGCACCTACACATACATAAGACCAAAGCCTGTTTACTTTGCAGTTGAACTAGGATGTTAAAAATGACAAATGTGCCTTCATGATTTTAGATTCCCATATAGACAATACAGACTGTGCCTAGTGAATCCTTAGCCAGAGAGATCACTACTATATATCACTAATTCTTACAGCTACACCAACGAGGGGGCTTTTATTTCCCTATAGAGTAGCTACAGAAAGGTCACATGTAGAAGCAGAGTACCCCAGCAGCAGAATCATACATGAAGATAATCAGGGCAGCATTGTGCCAGTTCATGCTCTTTTCATCCGGTAGAGGACATTTCTTCGGCGTGCCCGATGTTCACATGGATAAGCAGCCGGCGATTGCCGTCGACTCCAAAAGTTTTTTTGCCGTATTGTTTTGGCACCCCACGGAACTGGTGCCTCGTCAACCACGCGTTGGCAACCATTGACATGTCACTATGAATTGCCCTTCCTGGCCGGGCCGAGCTAATGTAGTCGGAAGTGGTATATGGACTACCTTGACAACCTTCGGTATGTTGAGAGATGATAGATAGTATATGAGGGGATGTGCCATTCTCAATCGTCCTTCTGTTACCTCTAGACAGACCAGAAGATCAGCACTAGTAACAATTATCTAACTACACAATGGGTCGCTTACAAGGCAAAGCAGCTATTGTCACCGGCGGGGGATCAGGATTTGGGGAAGCAATCGCGCACGGTTTCGTGGCTGAGGGAGCTCATGTCATTGTCGCCGACATCAGCGTGGCGGGAGGAGAACGAGTCGTGCAGGAAATCCGCAGCAAGGAGTACACCCATGGCGGCTCAGCGATATTTCTGCAGGCCGATGTGACGAAGCGAGGTGACTGGGAGAAAGCGTTGAGTCTGGCCAAAACCAAATTCGGAAAATGCGATATCGTCGTCAACAATGCCGGGACAACATATAAGAAGCAGCCCAGTGCAGAGGTCTCGGAGGCGGACTTTGACCGAGTCGTGGCCATCAACGTGAAGAGTATCTATTTGAGCAGTTCGGTAATGCTGCCCTACTTTGTCGAACGAGGGTCGGGGGTCTTCTTGAGCACGTCTTCGGTCGGTGCTATGCGCCCTAGATCGGTAGGTTTCCTATGGCTTGATGCAATGTGGTGAACGCATTACCAAAGCAGAAGGGGGAGATCCCACAATGAACACAGGCCACTAATTACACGCCATAGGGACAAGTATTCTATGCCGGAACCAAGGGATTCCTAAACACGGTGAGCCTTCCAAGTACTACGATACGTCGAACCTAAGGCATAGACTTATCAATATAAATCCAGGTCACCCAGGGCTTAGCTGCGGAGTATGGACCCCATGGTGTGCGAGTGAACACCATTTGTCCCTTACTAGCGGCTACTAATCTGCTTGAAATGTTCACCGGTGTCCCCGATACACCTGAAGGGAGAGCGGAATTTGCCAAAGGGGTTCCATTGGGACGGATGTCCGAGCCAAGTGACATTGCCAATGCAGCCGTATTTCTTGCCAGCGATGCAGCTGGCTTCATCACCGGTGTGAATTTTCCAGTGGATGGAGGACGTTTAACTGTTTGATAAACGCATCAGTAATGCATGATTATATTACTAGCATGTGTTTCCCTAATGACCATATATCTGTATGTAACTCCCTTGAGAGTCGACACACTTTTATAACTACACACACCGAACATTTGCCCATTAGTATTTATAATCTGCGGCTACGAGTAAGAATGGTATGGCCGGCAGCACTTGTTTCTAAGTATCAACTAGGTATGGTGTTGCGAGGCTTCTCGTGGTTGGGCATCTGATAGATATGTGATATGATATATAATTTCACTAGAGGCACTACCCATTTATCCCTACATAACGCCATATTAATCATAACCCCTCACACAGAAGTGAAACTACACAACTACTGGTGCATCGAATTTTAGTATGAAAATAAACAATACAATTTGTCGCTCTACTAGTTTGTAGGCCCTCACAGTCCCGTAGTTGAGGGGAATTCCCGTCCGGGGGAGTCCTAGGGCTCTCAAGGACCCGAGATTGTTTGAATGAATTTTTGTGTGATCAAGATAAAATATTGGGATTATATTCGAAGCATGTGCAACACAGGGAGAGATAATCAGAGACCATAATTTGCAAACGCCTCGCGTGCTCTGTTGCGTAGCTCTGCTTTGGCCGATGGCCAGGGCTGACCGTTGCGCCAAAACCCTTCAACTGCGGGCTTTTGTCCCGGTTTTCCGTCCTGTGGTAGACGGTTCAACCATAACCACCTGATTTTTTCTTTGAAGCCACGAGATTTCCAGGAGTTCAGATCATCACTTGGATTGTTGTTCAAGGTGGGTAAGTGTTTGATCAAGTCCTCATCGTGTGCCAAGCACACCATGACGTCCGGGTGGGAGTCAAATGCAGCCAAGCTATTCACTGAACGTTGTGCCAGCTTAGGGTCCACATGAGCCGAGCATGCATCATTTGATACAAGATAGAATGGTGTGCGACTGCCGTCCCCAAGTTCTGCCATAGCTCGTCTAGGGTGGTGATCAGTAAACAATGAACAGAGAGGCATCGGATCTGGCAACGGCATATGGATATTCGGACGGAAGATGCCGGCAAAGTGGCAAATGTCCCCACCGAGCAAGACGAAGCTGGCGTTGGGACTAGGGGTTGTACGAGCAAGCCCGCACATGTGGCCGATACAGTGCCCTGGTGTGTCTGAAAGGTATACATTTAGCTGCTGGACATGCAACCAATAACATCTGTGCTATAGAGGGAAAGATAATTTTCTGTCTAGCAGTAGGAGATACTAACCAAGAAGATAAAAGGAGCCATCACCAAAAAAGTCGTACGCAGGAAACCCGCCGATAGAAAGACCGGTACCAGAAAAGTCGATTTCCTTCAGTGGACGCTGATCGAAGACTTTGGCCTCTACCGGGGAATTGGGTGCCAGAGGGAAACCAGGGAGTATATTTGAGCGAGATTTGAAGCCAGGCCCAACTACCAGTTTTGTGCTATGGGGGAATATTGCGGTGTTTCCGATATGGTCCCAGTGGTAGTGGGACCAAATAATGGTCGCTACAATTCAAGCTTATAAGTCTGGCCAGTCATTCCACGCCGTGGTATTTCTGCACTCCGTGAACACGTCGAGGAACTTACATATGTCATTCAGCGCAATTCCACTGTCCTGAAGAATGTCTGTAACATCTTTATCGACGCGTAAAGATGGGATCACCTCCGACAAGCGGCTTTGAAGCACCGCGGGGAGGTTCCAGTAGTCCTTACGTATGCCTAGATCAAACATAACCTGTTCTCCTGATGGCACATGCTCTATAAGGAATGCTGCAACATATATATTCAGGGTTTCATGTCCAGGTTGTACAGGCTCGAATAGTGACTTGGCATTAACCACCATGACGCCGGTAGTATCAACCAGTCTCACTCGCACTGTGCTTGTAGAGGACGGGAATTGCATCGTCTGAGAGGCCTCAATGGTGTTCATGGTGGAAACTAGGAATGGACCCGATGGTCGTAGTGGAATTGGTGTTGTGAATGGAATTAATTAGTTTGTTCCTGGTGAGGATATTATGGAAGGCCTGTACAAGGCCAAGGTATAACGGTAGGAACTGTAACCACAGAGAGTACAGTTACTAAAACGTGAACTTCCAGAGATATGCTTTCCCCGCCACGTTAACGGTCCGAGGGTCTATGCCGAGGCCAGATGGTCCGCGAAGCAGCCTTTGGTGCTCGTAGGCTCACATAGCCATTCATGGCAAGGGAATAGAACAAATACAAAGTTTGAAGACCCATACCGTTGTATAGTTAGGGAATGGATGTCGCCATCCAGCTTCCTGATCTAATGTCGGCTAAGCTGGGCCATGCTGAGCTCTAGAGTCCCACTGCCACCGGCTGTACTGGTAACAAGCTAACCAGGGACAGAAGCCTAGCTTTAGCCGGGCTGCTGATGAATATGCATGGTAAGAATCACCGGGGAAACTGTAAGAATTTCTCAATTGGGAGACGAGTCGGCTTACTCGATTGGGTCGGTAATACCCAAAGCGACACCGGCTCGCCCCATCCTGGCTCCGTAGTGTAGAAGGAATGCTTCAAATATAACTAATGTGGTATGATAGATAATGTCGAGGGGTAGGAACAAGAGTAGAGACTCGCCCTATCAAGAAGAATATTTTATTTACCAAACACAATTTTCCATATGGCGACACGTCCAGCTTCAGCCGCTCCGGTGAATCCCGTATTTGCAAAGTATGGCCTTCCCGGGAATATCACGATTGGAAGCAACTCGCCAGGCATTCACCCAGCTTCAGAGAAGCGCCCTGTGCACTATCCAGAATGGGACAGACCGTCAAGCACTGGTTATGTGGTCTCAAACCACTTGATCAATGAGCCACCTCCGGGGCAGCCGTTATTTCGAATCATCGTGATCGGCGCTGGGGCTGCGGGCATCGACTTTCTCCACCATGCCCCACGGGACCTTGCTGGACTTAATATCGAGTTCGCTGTGTATGACAAAAATCCAGAAATCGGCGGCACCTGGTTTGAGAATCGGTACCCAGGATGTGCATGCGACAATCCCAGCGTTGGGTATACCTTTCCCTGGAAAGCCAAGCCAGACTGGACGAGCTTCTACTCTTCTTCAACTGAAATCTGGCAGTATTTCAAGGATATTGTTGAGGAAGAGAATATGATGCAGTATATAACCCTGAATACAGCTGTCTCTGGGGCCAGTTGGGATAACAGCAGGGCGAAATGGATCGTGAAGCTTTCCCAGCGTCTGGAGGACGGTCAGACAAAAGAGTGGCAGGAGGAATGCGACGTTATCCTCAATGGCAGCGGATTTCTCAAGTGTGTTTGCCTGTCTCTTGTCAGTGGCAGTGAACGGGCCATGGCTAACTATTGTTCACAGTGCTTGGAAATGGCCAGACATTCCGGGGCTGCATAAGTTCAAGGGCCCTATCTTTCACACTGCAAACTATAAGGAAGGATTCGACCTGAAGGATAAGAGAGTTGCTGTAATTGGTTCCGGTAGCTCAGGTGTTCAGGTGTCAGCTTCCATATATCCTGACGTGCAGCATCTCTACACCTGGGTGCGAAGCCCAACCTGGATCACCGCCGCTTTTGGCCAGCAGTTTGCGGGAAAGAATGGCCAAAACTTCGAGTGTAAGCCCTGCCATACCATCCATAACAGTCAGAGAGCTTACCATCCATAGATACGGAAGAACAGAAACAGGCGTTCGCAAAAGATCCCGCCAGTTATCAGCGATACAAGAAGACGATTGAAAACGAGCTGAATAAAAGATTCAAACTAGTTTTGCGCAACACAAAAGAGTCCGATGAAGCAAACGCTGTGAGTGGAACCCATCGACCGCCATGAATTTATTTCTGACATGAACTTTACACACAGTATGCGTTTCAAGAAATGTCTATGAAGCTCGCAGCAAAGCCATACTTGAAAGACTTCATTATTCCCCAGAATTTCAATGTGGCATGTCGCCGGCCTACACCTGGTAATGGCTACCTTGAGGCGCTTGCTGGAGAGAAGACGACCGTTTTCACGTCCTCAATCCAAGCTATCACAGAACATGGGGTTGTCGACGCTGCCACTGGCGAACACCCGGTAGATGTCATCATATGTGCCACTGGCTTTGATACATCATTCAGGCCCCAGTTTCCCATTACTGGGCTAGACCCAGAGGTAACTTTAGCCGAGAAATGGGCCGAGTTTCCTGCCAGCTACTTGGGGATTGGTGTCGATGGCTTCCCGAATTACTTCACATACTCTGGGCCGTTCACACCGGTTGCTCAAGGCTCCTTGTTGCCTATAATAACACTCCTGACGAACCACTTCATTGAGATTATCCAGAAGATGCGAAGGCAACATATCCGCCAACTGAGTCCGAAAGCTAGTGCTGTTGCTGATTTTGCGGAGCATGCTCGTACCTTTTTGCCGCGCACTTGCTGGGCAGACCCATGCAGCTCTTGGTTCAAACAGGGCACCACAAATGGCCCTATTGTCATGTGGCCGGGTTCCAGGCTTTCCTTCTTTGAAGTACTTCATCACCCCAACTACGAGGACTATGATATCGAGTACTATGGCAAGAATCGGTGGTCTTTCCTGGGCTCCGGCTTTGTAGACTTTGAATTCTCAGGGTCTAAGGACCTAACGTGGTACCTGGACGAGTTCTCAGGACGGGAAGACTGGGTGAAAGGAGTTCCATTGAGTCAAGATTCTGAGGAGTTTGCCGGTGTTAACGCTGGTGCAGTTCCCCACACTAACGCGCGCCTTTAGTGGCGCCTCGGGGAGGTGATCTGGAATGAAATAGACAACGACTGACATGTTGTGACGCCGGGTGTTCCCGCGTTCTAAGGTATTCTTTCGCAAATATGAGAGCTTTCGTGTCGGACCCTTCCTGAAGAGATATGTATCCAGTATGCAGGTACCAGTAGGCTGTAGTGGTATCATTCCCTGGCACACCTCGCCATCCTTTGGGAAAAGTCACGATATGGTAATGTACATATCTTCAATACTAATCCATTTCTCATAGGTGGCCAGTATTCCCTATCGTCAACTGTTCCCGCTAGAGCGTACTTTTTGGTTAATCTATGGTCTATGACAGTTTATGTAGACTCATTTGATCATTTATTCCATGCATTGGTAATCGTGGCTACACTCAGTCACCATATGACTGGGACGCTATCCTTGAGGCACCGCTGGTCGCTTCTATGGATAGCGATAGACCACTAGCTAGCGAGTGTTAAGATCTTACTTAGATCTACGTGTATATATATCGAGGAAGTCACGCAATTCTCTACCCCCCTAAGCTACAGCCATTTGCAATTACAGAGATATTCAACATTTCCACTATCATCCTCGACTATATTTTTCAAGGAGTATCTTTATACCTTGTAAACCTATTACTACGTTGTAGTCTAATCCAAAAAACAGGAGAAAGAAATGGCATTAAAAGGAATTTATTAACATTCAGTTATACGTTAGTGCGGGAGAGTTCACTTAGGGGCACACGCCTCGAAAGCGATAGGTTCCTGACCAAATAACATGCGCGGCCTAGCATTTCGAGATGGCCTTTCTTAGACCATACCGTGCATATTGGCCTCCTTTCTATCGCACACGGGAAAGTAAACAATGTTCTTCAAAACGCCCGGTTTGGCTGTCCACTACAAAGCAAACGGGTAGAGAAGGACCTGGGCTTTCCGGGTACAGTAAAGAGATAATGAATTGGAATATAAAACACAAGATCATAACATAAAGCACTTGAAACATCGGGTGGATGATCGGCCCACTAAGCCGCTATTTATGAGGAAGCACCGCATGATGCTCCCCCAGGTACCATGCCACGTCGCTGCCATCATACTCTTTCGTCGAAAACCCATTACCCAGAAAGGCAAACTTGTTCGTATTCCAATATTCAATGGCATAATCCTCAAACCTCGGGCTCGATAGGAGGTCCGCCAGCACCATCCTTGAACCTGGAAAGATAGTAAGCTGCCCATCCATCTTTCCGTTTTTAAACCAGGAAGCGCAGGGCCCAGCCCACGCGGTCCGCTTGAGCCAGAGGTCGGCATGCTCAATAAAATCGTTTGTGGCCTGCTGCTGCGGGGATATCGATTTAATATTCTCTCGTTGCATCTTCTTAAGGACCTGGAGTATATTGTCTAGGAACAATTCGGCCATGGTAGTGAACGAGCCATGGCCAAAGGAAAAATAAGGACCGCCCACCGTGAAGTAGTTCGGTACTGAGAGAAGTAACAATCGTACTTGTCAGTGGACCATTTCAACGCATCTGTTCTGATGGGCTTGTCACTTACTCCCGGGGATGGCCATGGACAGATAAGATATCGGCCTTTTCCGTTGGATATCCTGGACGTTCTGACCGTTTGCAAAAATTGGAAATCTGGGGATCCACGATGTATCAAACCTGGTGTGAATCGTCCTGTCAGCCACGTTCTACCCAAAGAAGGGCTTGGGGATAAGTTACCCGGTAGCGCAAATTATCACGTCCACCTCCTGCTCATTGCCCTGATCATCGATGAAACCTTTTGGTGTGATCTCCTTGAGTGTCTCGAAATTCGTTGTCACTTTATCCAGGGTGAGGGCTTCCAAAAATCCGTTCCCCGGCTAGTGTGTCGTGAGTGGAAAGGACGCTGAATCAATTTTGCGGCTTCACTCACCGTCGGTCGTCGGCACCCGACGTCAAACGTTTTCGGAATGATCTGTTCCATGATATCTTTGCGATGGCCCAGTTTCCTCTTCATTTCCTTGGTGGAAAACTGGAAGTTGTCAGCAAAATCGATTCTACAATCAGCGCGTCCCAATGGTCCCGAAACATACTGCCTTGGCTTCTTCAGCCTCTGGTGACCCAACCTGGACTGACTTGAAGACGTGGTGGATTTCAGTCTCCAGTTTCTTGCAGTAGTCCAGATACTCATCTGAGTGAGTGGAGAAGTGCCTTTTCTGCTCTTCCGAGTCTGACGTTGTCACGAGTCAGAGGATATCCAGGAGGCCAGCGTTGGACAACATACATTTGAAATTAGCCCCGTCCTCGCCCGCATACTTTTGGGCAAATCCTGAGGTCATCCAGGTTGGAGACCTGACCCAGCAATATAAATGTGCGACATCGGAGACAATTTTGGGAATCACCTGGACGCCGCTACTGCCGATTCCAATGACTGCAACCCTCTTGCCTTGCAAATCGGTGTCCTCATCGTAGTTGGCGGTGTGGCAGAGCTTGCCCTGGAACGTATGAAGTCCCTTTACGTCAGGCCATCTCCAGGCACTAGAGTCATGTTGTGTTAGCGTTGATTCTGCACTGTTCGGGCTGACTGCTTACTTGAGGACGCCACCACAGTTGATAAACACATCGCATATGTCGACAAACGTCGTCCCGCTGGATAAGTCCTTCACATGTATCTCCCAGTGTCCACGCTCCGCGTCCCATGAAGCCTGTTGAATCTCGTGGTTGAGATGGAAGTACTCCGAGAGGTTGAATCCCTCCACTACGTCTTTTAAGTATTGTAGGATCTCGGGGGCCTCCGAATAGAATTGCGACCAGTGCGGGTTTTTGGCCCAAGAGAACTAAAGGACAGGATGTCAGTTCGTATCTGACAGACTGCAGGGTTCAGTGCCATGTATTACCTGATAGATGTGCGATGGTATATCACAGGCACAGCCAGGGTAGCTTCGTTGATCCGGTCAGTATCCTCGCCATAAATGCTCCTTTCTACCGAGGAATCCTGGGGCAGCTCACCGATTCTCATACCACGTTCCACCAATTTCAGGGTTCTTATCATAGATCACTAAAGACGCGTTACGGAGTTGCTGTGGCAGATAATGTGCCAAGCAGATTCCCGAGATGCCAGCCCCCAGAGCCACGACCCTCAATGGCTTCTCGGTGCCGCAGAGCTGCTCCTTGATCTTATAGCCGCGACTGTTCTCCGTCTGCCATCCACGCTTCTCTGGGAGTGATTCAAATGCGGGGAGTGGCGGAGGGGAGACGGCTGTCTCTGAGATCGAACCCATTGTGCTTTTCTCTGTTTGCTTTCCTTTTCGTGCGCCCAAGAATACTGTTTCTACAAAGCAGATTTACCACATTTAATGCAATATCCAATCCTTAAGTAGGTCGATATTCAGTTGCTCCTATTATGGTATCAGGAACTCGCATCATGGCTGCATAGTGTGGGTGTATGTGCATCACGGTTGCTGGATCATGCCTAATTCAGTCGGCTATCGGCGTGATTCCAGACGATACCGCAGTTACCGATCGACACAGGTAATAGATGCCATTGCCGACGTGGTGCAAGAGCCGGCTATGGGACTTACGATTCCCTACTACCATGGGCGTCTTGGTGGTCACTACCGACGCGATGCATCGGGGTGGCACTAGTTGCTTCAGTCCCCTTACCAGGTCAAATCCTTATCATGGCCGGCCTTTCACGGACGGTATAAGTAAAATTGCGTTCGTTGGATGTACCAGACATATCGTATTAGATTTGTACACAAGACTACAGGGGATGCCATCGGTCGGTAGCAAGGGGGGCATAGCTGATTCATACTAAACAACGAGCGGCGAATCTCTTGCTTGAACTTTCTGATTGTAGCAGTACTTCAATGGTCGCCTGGACTGTAATGTGCAGGCTACATTTCCCGATCAGAGCTTCAGAATACAACCGGGCAAAGCCTAGCTAGATGTCCCACGGGTATATTACATTTTCCCTTGCAGTGGCCTTCCACGATGATACAGTTTCTCAAATACCAAAGCACTCTCCTGGTCCAAGAATGGCGGCTGAGTCGTTTCAATCGCGCCCTGCGTGGTGTAGTTGGGTCCCACCTCATAACACACCCCTGAAATCTTCTCTGCTCCCATCCACTTCTCAAATGTCTCCAGAATCCCCTCCATCGGTGTCATGACGCCTACACTCTCCAGACTGTCGTAGAATTCGGAGGTGGACATGTTGGTGCGGACCACATTGGGACAAACAGCATTCATCGTAATTTGTTCCTCCGGGAGATACTTACCGTAGCTACGGACAAAGCCAGTGACAGCACTACCAAGCCCGTTAGTAAGACACATGCACGGTGGTTAAAGTAACGGTAAAGACTGTCAAGGGGGGTAGAAGTTACAAAAGTCCTTCAGCAAAGCGGGGAACCTACTGTTTGGCTGCTGTATACACAGGAAGGGTCGGGCAGGAGTAGAGACCACATACGGAGCCAACAATGCCAACTGTGAGACACCAAGCCAATTTCAGTACTCTGCGATCTTCGCATGATCCGGGAACCAGGACTGCGGGGGCTTACTCTTTCCACGAAAGCCATTCACATCGGGCTCTTGCCGGCGGAACTGCTGGACAGCAAGGGCCACCGTGTAGAACAGCCCCGTCGTATCCACATTCAAGACGGCCAGGTCTGGTGCCTTGAAGGCACCGCTTGTGTCGTTGGTCAACCAGCGTCGTTCGTTTATGCCGGCAATAGCATAGACGTAGTCGATACGGCCAAACGAACGGACAGCCTGAGTAAAGGCGCTGGCCTGCATATCCCAGTCAGAGACGTCCACCACGCCAAACTCGGCGACATGTCCGTTTTCGTTCAGCTTGGACACGACCGCCTCAGCGCTTTCCTTGTTTTGATCGGCTATGAAGACCTTGATGCTGCGGTGGATTCGTTAGCGTCGTAACAAGACCCTGGGACCAATAGATCACCCATATAATACCCTTTGCTGACCAGCATCTCGGCCGTCGCCTTACCTAGCCCTGAAGCTCCCCCGGTAATGAAAGCGGCAGGCATAATTTCAGTATTGTCGAAGCTGAGTGATGTTCAAAGGATGGATAGCTCAGATGGAAACGTAGAGATTGAAAATTCATCCAAGGAACCTAAGACGACTATATAATCACGAAATTTACCCAGGCACGTCGGTTATGCACCTAGTGCCCATTCTCTCTCTCCATGATTGCCGATGGTTGCTCCATTGGGTTGGAAATACCTCAGCCTGACTTTGGGAACCCGCCATTGAAACATAAAGTATGGTTATCGCTCGGCATTTCTCAAAGGGCTCGGCACAAGACATGTTCAGTGAACTTGGGATCCGAGGCGAGTCACGCTAATTGCTATACATCTTGATCAATGGCCACCTAAAAACGCCGATGCGCCCAGACTCCTCCGCTCAGATATTTTCTCCCTGCCGGCCGACGTTCTTTTGTGTTGCCCATCCTGGATTCCAGACTAGAACACTTGAGCATTGACTCCCAAATCTAGTTCCAGGGTTTATCTTCTCGTAAAGTATCGTACATTTAGAGTTCTAGGAAGTCTACATTGAATGTGTCCGGGTCCATGATAAAGCTTTCCAACTGGACTGTAAAATTATATGCCAGATCCAGATCTGGGGCAGCCATAGCCGGACTATTCACGAATAGAATTCCGATGAGCGGACTGGTTTCGGCCGAAATATAGGGAAAGTAATCACGCCAGCCGACGTTGCCGGCGGGTGAAAGCCCTGGATGGTTGGGAATTAAAGCAGGTGGACTTCCCAGAACTTCCATCTGATCCCCTGAGGGCACAGAGTTTGCATTAAGCAGTTTGTCAATCCCTCTTTCAAATAATCGGGAGGATGGCCATAGTCGGGCCATTTCCTTGATGGCTGCACGAAGGATTTTGATGTCACGATCTGCAGCGTGCGTCAGGCTATCGATCTTGCGTGCGTGGGCTAGTGCAAGGATGGCAATTATGATGTACCATCCTGCCTGGCCAGCCAGAAAACGCAGAGACCCTCTCAGCATATAGTCATAGAAGATTCGACTGGTACACGACGCAGCAACGACGGCCGCCGTAGATGCTTGAGGGATGGATTGGGCGGTCTTGTTTAAGTGCATGAGCGTAATGGTCGATAGGTATGTCAAATGCATCCCATGGACTGCCGGCTGAATACCCACTGTTCGCCCGCTGCCGATCAAAGGTTGCAGATCCAAATGGAGACTTTGAACCCAGTCCACGAGTTCTCTGCCAAACGCATCCGTTGAAAAAACTCTTTCTCGGCTGATACATGTGCCTACCCGACCGACGATATCGCACAGCCTCAGCCAGGAGAGAAATACCGTCGTCCCAACATCGTCAGGGTTGGGAAAATCTTCTTTGGTGGGCATTGGTGTGTTACAATCTTCCAGGTTGATGACGCAGGGTCTGCCCTGGGAGATACAGCTGATCCGTTCACGAGCCTGCACTGATGGTTAACGTTGTGGATCAAAAAGGGGCTGCACAGGGATTTCTGAATATACCACCAGCGTCCACCAAATCCGTCTCCGTAAACCTGGTGTGTCACCCTCGCATAGTGGGTGTCCCGCGTCTGACTGGCGATGAAGGCGCATCTGTTGCGCAAGGCGAATGATTGTCCCGTTCCACCACCATGTGTTGTCAATGCTAACAGTGTTTGGGCTGTCGGCGCTGAACCAGTAGAACAGCATGAGTGAGATGATGGTGACCAGTGGGTTCCGCTCATTATTTCCGTAAAAGAGCTCCTTGGCACGTTGATAGTGATCCTCTGAGGAGGCATGCTCAATTAGGGATGGTCGTATCTGGTTGCTGCATAATGCCAATGCGTGTTTCAGGAGCAGTGAATGTTTGAACTGTGGGCATGACTGATATGTCTCCCGGTCAAGGACTGGGCACCAAGAGCTCGCAAACTCGAAGAAGACGTCGAGATGTGTGTCGGATAAGACAGGGGGTATATTGTCTATCGGCTGCAGTCTTGCAGCGGGAGCAGTCGCCGGCTTGATGGCCTTACTTGCATCGGGATCGCTACTGAACATCGGCATGTATCCCGAATCGCCCAGATACTCCGGTTGGTAGGAAGAGTTTGACGAGATTGAGGGACATGGCTCGTCGATGTCTGTCGCGTGCCCGGCCGAAGCTGCAGAGACACAGGTGGGCTCCGGTATCTGCGTCGGGTAGGGTGGACTCTCGATTGGGATATCGACGGGGACGCCGGAGAAGTCTAGGGGCAGTGGGGGCTCGACGGATGCATCTAAACCGACTGGGTTCGGCATTTGCAAAGTCTTCTCCATGGGAACGGGGACGGGTAGCTCGAACACGTTCCCCTTTGGCGTCTGCGGCGGTTTTCTGGTGAAACCCCTGCGGGAATGCCGTGGCCTACATCGGCGCCTGTGAGGCTTGACGAACGGCATAGTCTTCGCTTGAACTACGTACCGGCAGAGCACCCCTGAGTCGCTACAGTTTGAGCATTGCAGGGCGCGTGAAGTGTCATTCAGCTGAAGGTCGCATTTAATCTGCGCTCCCGTTTAGCGATCAACATGCAGTTTCCGTAGGTGGAGACCTCACCTTCTTGTCATGGCAGCGGCAACAAACCACCGTCGCGCGTTTGGGGCGTTTCCTAGCTGAGAGGGATGTCTGCTGGGTGGCAGAACTGTGAATAGAGAATTTCGAAAGCATTATGGAGCGTTGATGGGCGCGTACTGATCATCGATGGTGCTGGTTCTTCAAAAGGGAAATACCGACGGGGTCGTCGGCCGAACGGGAGGGAGGTTGGGGAACATAACCCCAACCATGGGGGCTCGAGGAAACCCCATACGAACTGAGCTGTCCATCGGATACAGGATCACCTTCGGATCGTGGGGCTCCGTGGGATGTTGTCCCACGGACTGGGCCAGTCCGTCCACACCATGCAGATCCCCGATTGCCATCGGCCGAAAAATTGCGGGGACTCCACAAAGGTTTTCCCCATGATCCGCCGTACCCCAGGTTCGCCATTCACCTAGACCCGTTTTGTTCGGTTCATGCTCAGCACGGATTAGGATCGCGATCTGTTTGAAGTTAGACTGTCTGCTCTGCCGGAACGCGGAGCCGATGCTTCCAGTCGGCACGGAGGGGCCCGTAGAAATATGATATAAGTGCTCGTCTAGCAGGAGGCAGAGTGTCCCCGTAGTGTAGTTCCCTTAAACTGTTACTTCCAGGGCATCTGGCTACACACAAACATGGCCACCGACTGGCTTCTTGTTAACGACATCCGAGGCTGGGTACAAACCGCCTCCCCTACACAGGTCTACCTCGCAATTGTTGGTCTTGGGACGGTGGGGTACCTGGTGGGATATGTCATTTACCAACGATACTTTCACCCGTTGGCCAAATTCCCGGGTCCGTTCTGGGCGAGCGTAACCAATTTCTGGAAAGTCTATGAGTTGTCCACGCTGGCCCTCCCGACACGGATGTGCAGGGTGCACGAGAAATATGGGCCAGTAGTCCGTATCGGCCCAGATGATCTATCGTTCAACATCCCCGAGGCCATAGCACCGATTTACAAGGTCGGCAGAAAAATGCCCAAGGGGATCTTTTACAACGGCTATGTTTCCACGGTACCAGATATCTTCTCCACCCGAGATGAAGATGTAAGTAGATACACCCTTCCGTCTGGATCACGGTCGCTTTGCTAAGTTGCATCCCTTCAGCTCCATGCGCTCCGCTTAAAGCAGATAGGGCCAGGCCTGACAGTCTCGGCTTTGAAGCACATGGAGCCGGTCTTCAACACCCATATTGGCAAGCTCGTCACCAAGATCAATGGTCATGTGGAAGCAGGTACGGTGCTTGACCTGAAGGAAGCTCTCGCTCTTTACGGCTATGATATTACTGCGCAGCTGGCGTTCGATACCGACTTCAATTCACAGGCTACGGGCCAACTCCCTCCACTGAACAACCACTTCCTGCTGGGCAACATATACGGCCTTCTGGCGAACCTGCTTCCCCAACTCGCCACGTGGTCTGCTCTCTTGCCTTCAGTCAAGAGGCTGCTGGAAAGTCGCAATGATCTCAAAAGAATCGCAGAGGGCTCGGTCCGCAAGAGCCTCGAGAGTCACAACAACGAGACGGAGCCGGGCACCTTGCTTGCGGCACTGATCAATGCGAAGGATCCTGACTCAGGGAAGAAATTGACGGAAGACGAAATAAACTCGGAAGCCTTTGTTTTCCTGTACGAACCCCCCCCCTCTCTTTGTGTGACCACTCTCTAGCATGGGATGAAAGCTAACATCACCATGCTCTATGGTGCAGCGTTGCGGGCTCGCATACGACCTCAAGCGCTATGGTTGCTCTTCTGTTCTACATGCATCAAAACCCGACGGTGATCAAGCGCGTCCGCGAGGAGCTGGACGCCGCTCTCCCCGGTCAACAGAGTATGCCTTATGACTTTACCGGTCTGGATTCCAAGCTACCGTACATATTGGCCTGTATTCGGGAAAGTTTTCGCATGTCGCCAACCGCCGCGCTCTTGTTACCCCACGAGGTCATTAACCCGGCCGGCGCGAATATCGGAGACTATCACGTCCCCAAGGGGGTAAGTCGAGAATATTGGTATTCAAAACAAGCAAACGCAACGCTGACCAATCTATTTATCTAGGCAAATTGCTCCATACTGAGCACCTGCCTGCACCACAACCCGGATGTCTGGGGGCATGATCACGACGAGTTCAATCCTGATCGCTTCATGCCTGGTAGCCCTTCGTATAAACCGGAGTACCTAAGTATGCTCTTCCATTTTGGCCAGGGCAACCGCCAATGTGCGGGCCGGAACATTGCGTTGATGTCCATCTGGAAGGTGGTCGTCACCTTGCTGAAGAATTACGAGTTCGAACTCCTCGATCCGAAGGAGAAATTTGTCATGATTGAGACTGGGGTCGGCGACAAGAAGGGTCCTATGAATATGCGTGTCAAACGCCGCGTAGCTGTGTAAGGTCAACCGGTGCTCCTGTCGTGACTCTTCACTGTTCATATATTCTTCTGTGTTTATTGCTATTTGTTTCAAATTCAAATCCCTGTTCGTACCACCACAGTGCATTCGTAGCCCGCCAACTTCCTCCTAGTCTTATATCGAGTACGGTAAATGTAAATAGTGCTCGACTTCACCAATGTTCGATTCACTTGGGTTCCGTTGACATGGTATGGAGCTATGGACGGGAAGCTATCTACCCCAAGTCCTAGGAGCTTTGGACCATCTGGCGGCGTTGACATTTGTAATTATCTGGACTTTAGCGAACTGGGCTTGTATGTGGGTATTCTGATTTGTATTTCCTTTGACCCTTCTTACATATGATAAATATATACAGTTCTCTCTGACAAATAAACAGATTGGTTATATGTGGGTGTGTGTGTGTGTGTGCCCGGACCTCATTAGGTTACATTCAAGCAGTGATTCGTCCCTCACTCCACATCGACCCGACCGACATGCAAACCCCCAGAGACCTGAATGTCCGTTCCCGTAGTGTAGGAGGATGCCTCACTTAGCAGATACACAATGGCAGGGGTGAGGTCGTTGCGATTGCCAATTCGTCGCAATGGAGGCGCCCGCTCCATCAGCTCCACTCTCTGGGGCTGCTCCTTTTTGAAGGGAGTCAAAAGTTCCGTGTCGGTGTATCCTGGTGACACGCAATTGACGCGGATCTTATCTGGACCCAGTTCTAAACTGATAGCCTGACTGAGCATGCGTACGGCGGCTTTAGACGCATTGTACGGGGACAGCTTATGGCCGGGAGTCTTCGTAGTCGCCGAGACTGAAGCGATTAGGACAATGCTACCTCCATCACCCTGTCGTTGCATTTGTCGTGCCGCAAGTTGGGCGGTGAAAAAGGTGCCCAGAATCTGCAGATGAGCTGTGTGAGAAGGAGAATCATGAAATGAAATGGTGTTGGGATCTCACATTTACGTCCATGAGACGCTTTACTGGCTGCCACTCACAGTCAACAAACGGACCCTCGATCACTAGGCCGGCAGCCGTTACACTACAAACGCACCGTTAGGTCATCGAACAGCCGTGCTCTCCATAGATGGTCGTAATACGTACCAGCCATCGAGTCGGTCGAAATGAGTCATAGTCTGTTTGAATGCGTCCTCCATCTCCCGCGGGTCGGTCACATCGGTCTGAATATAGCTGGTCTTCACCTTGAATTCCTCCGCCAACGACTGAAAATCTGCTACTGGTTTGGGCGCCCTGTCCCACACACAGACATTGCCTCCCATTTCTGCAATCGCGCGGACGGCAGAATACCCAATGCCTCGAGCACCACCTGTCACGAGTACGTTCTTCCCCGAAAGATCGAACCGGCCCTTGATTGAGTATAGATCTCCATCATACCGCTTCTCCTGGTCCGCAAATCCCCGGGTGACTTGACGCACAGGACTGCGTGACCAGACTCCAGGGGCGTGAATCCGCCGCCTGGTAAGGAGCATGGAGTTTCTAGTCAAGCTCATTATTTCGGGAACGTGTGTGTGTATGTGGCTAGCTTCGACCGGATCAGTCGCAATGTAATTTCTTTTTTATAGATGGGCAGCCTAGAGGGAAAGACCTTACAGCCAGGAGCACTAGTCAAACGTGGCATTATATAAACCATCTCGTGCACGGTTAAGCGGTGGTATGGAAGCAGTAAGCCGAGGGATGCCGACTAACTTCGGCAAGCCTGCCGTGACGGTCGGCTACCATTCTGGGTCCCTAATGCCGGGTACCACAAGGCGTCGGAAATCTTGAGAGCCCTATTTCTTGATCCCTAAGCACCAGTCCAACCTCATTCGACTACAAAAAGAGGTTCTCCTCTCTGATCATGGATGATTGTTGAATTCGTGTGCCTCCCCTCGAAAGTGGAATCAACCAGATACAATCTCCTTCAATCAGAATCGACAGCATGCCGACCGAGCACGCCGACCGAGCGGCGATCGAGCGAGCCCAGGACGTCCTGTACGACGAAGGCACGAAGCTACGGCAAGAGGTGTTTGGACCCCAGTACATCAGCCAGTCAAAGAGCCTTCCCGATTTTTTACAACCAGTGCAAACGATGGCGGTCACTGCCGGCTGGTCACTGTGCTGGTCGAGGCCTGGTCTGGACCGCAAAACACGATCGATGCTCTGCTTGGCCATGTTGGCTGTCATGGGACATGAAAAAGAGCTGGCTGTTCATGTCCGCGGCGCTATCTCTAACGGGTGTAGTCAAGAGGAGATCCGAGAAGTTTTACTTCAGGCAAGTTCACCTCCTGCCTTTGTGTCTAACTACTGACCGGATGCTGTTCATGCAGACTGCAGTCTATGGTGGTGTGCCCTGCGCGGCGAGAGCGACTCGGATCGCGTGGGATGCGCTGCAGGAGGTGGATGACGGCGATGCTTTACAAAAACAGATACAGGAATAAAATACTTTTGTCAATGTACTGGCGGTAGAATTGTTACATTGCCCGCTAAGACTAGCCTAGTGTCCCTACTGTAGCTAATCTCCCTAATCGAGCCATCGGCAATACATCAGACCCTTTGCACCGATACCTAATTCATGCCGCCATACGTCAAAGCACTTGCCACTTCCTGCAATTTGTGAAGAGCAGACCCTTCGTCAAAGTCGTCCCGGTTTAAATCCATGTAACCAGACGAGGAGATCTGGCGCGGTACGATGGCCAATGTTCGCCCTATGCACACAAAACAATCAGATTTGGTCCGCTAGATGGGAGACGGTCCTATTTTACCATTGATAGACTCATCCGTGATCAGCTTGAAAACAGCCGTGACTGCATCGTCGGTAAGGGCAAAGTCGACGCCCTGGGCCTCAAACTGGCGACGCGTTGACTCTACAAACGCTTCCCGGAGGATCGGGGTTGCAATAAACCTGGCCGAGCTGGTAAGAGACTATGTTTCACAGGGCAGTGGCGGAACAAGCAGGGTAAAAAAAGGAGATAGGCCAAGAAGTAAATGCAGAAAATGGAGGCTAGTTACCATGGTGCAAGACAATTGACCCGGATTGTCTTTTTGCGTCGAAGGCAAGTCATCAGGCCACGGACCCCATGCTTCGCTGCCGAGTAGACCGACGAACCCTGAGTATCGATATAGCCCATGATGCTACTTACCAGGATGACGCATGGGTCGATGGAGTTTTGCCGATCGAAGTGCCACGCAGCAAGCCGAGTAGTGTACATCACTCCTATTAAGTTTACGTTCAGCATTGAAGTGTTGGGCTTCGTGGGTTGTTCCTCCGATAATCCTGAAGTCGCCAGTTAGCATCAAGGTTTCAGGGATGCTCCAGTAACTGGAGGCAACTCTAAGAGGACGTGACACGGCACCTTCAAGTATGTCAGGCCCGTAGATTCCGGCATTGGCAATAACGGCGTCAATTCTTCCATTAGGCGCCTTTTCCTTTGCAACTCGAAACAAATTGACCTGGTCATCCCAGCTCGAGACATCACATTTTACAAACACCGTCCTAAGCTGTATGTTGGCATTCCGCGTTCTAGCCCTCTTGTGAGAGCGGGAGATATCCCAGGAATGGCGCACCTGTCAGACATTGCAGTCTGTGAAGGCGGATTTAAATCACCGTTTACAACAAAAGCCCTAAGTGTCCATCAGTCAGGGCACTGTGTAATAGAAAACCTTTCACAAATCACACACCCTGCACGGGTTAATGCCTCCACGTAGGCGAGACCCAGGCCACTGCTTCCTGTAGGGTCGAATTAGTGATGAGCACAGCAATCAGTGGAATGTATGTCCTACCCCCAGTCAAGACAACGGTCTTACCGCCTGCCTTGGACGGGACAACTGGCTGCAGGCAGTCAACTGGTTGATTGGAATATGGAGAAACCATCGTAATACTTGTTATTCGCAGGTGCTGGGGAAGTCACGAAAGTGGAATTCTGAGTTGTCTATTGCAACATTACTACACTTCCCCAATCGGATATTTGTAACCTGAAGGGCCACCACAGAGACTATGAAAGACCCCTCACACGAAGCGGCCTGGGAATATCGGCGACAACTCGATTGGATCCCAATTCAGTCCGGTTAGTAGTGCCTCTTGCCGACTTTCCCTTTTCAGTCGGCAACTTGTATTTCCCAGTGTGTACCCGCGGTCCTGATCAATGAACTTCTGGATCGATATAGCATCATTGTCCAGCTTTCTGGGGCCAACCTACGCTTATGCTGTATCGCCACACTACAGTCTCCGATCGGCTACGTTCGAGTATAGAAGCTCCATCATCATTCTCGGTGCCTATAGAGTGCTGGGCTCACTACTGTAATATTACGTAGCTGCGGGCCCTCATCAATGGTGTCATCATCCTCTGGGACCTAAGTAGATTCGTTTTGGTCTATAATATCGGACACGAAACACATTTCATAGACTCAACCCGTCCATATTAATGAGCCTCAGTTCGACCTGTATCACCCACCATGCCAATACATATCCTTCCTATGTTTGCACTGATGTAAAGGAAGAGGTTTCATCTTCAGACAGAATCCATGAGAAACTCTCCACCAGTTCTTGGTCCCAGATACTGCTAGCCGAGAGACGAGCAAAGCGACGAAAGCCATGCGGCAGGCCGGGGAAGATATGTACCTTTGTTGGAACCCTACATCAGATCCATTAGCTTCGTGATGATCGTTACAGAACAATGGAGTACTTGCCCATTCCTCTTTAACTTTTCCGAGTAAAGCAGCGCCTCATCCCTCAGCGGGTCCTGGCCAGCAATCAGAATGCTTGTCTTGGGCAATCCCACAACCTCGTCATCTCCCGCCAGCGCAGTGTTCAGGGCCGGGTCTGTGGGGTCCTCGGCGCCGAGTAGATCGGTAAATAGCCGCAGCATACTGTTTGGTAGCATGGGGGCGTCGATGTTCTGTTGAATGGACGATGTCGGCACACTTGCAAACGGATGGTTGTCTGGGTGTATCAGCCAGGGGATACAGAGAACGTGCCCACGGACCTGGAGACCGAGTCGACGAGGTGTGCTTTGAGCAAGACGATGCTGGCGAAGCGTTACATAGGCTGCCAGCCCGCCCCCGGCTGAAATTCCACCGATTATGACCCGGCTCGGGTTGCCGCCAATGCGAGTAACATTAGCGTCCAGCCATTCAAACGCATCCCAGGCATCATTTACCTGTGTAGGATGCTTGAACTCAGGGGTGTGGCGGTAGTTGATGCTAACTACGATGATTCGGGCGTGGTAGGCTAGTCTTATACAGCCAGCATCTTCCGTCTCGATGTTGCCGGTGAGATACCCACCTCCATGGAAGTACAGGTATACTGGCGGTGCCAACCCCGTAACAGCCTCTCTTGGGCGATAAACACGAGCGACTATGTCCTGCCCGTCTCGTGTCGGGATCGAAAAGTCTCTCCAGTCGACTTTATACACGAGTCCTATGGGTAACAGTTACAGGCGGATCATTTCAACGGGTGGATGTTTTCGCACAAGGAGACAAACCATTGTTGCCAAGCTCCTTATCAGATATTTGAACACGCAGCTCATTCGTAAGCTGCCGAATGGTAGTTGCTGGAATGGCGGCATCCACCCGAGGGGGGGGATCCTCATTCATAAACTGCTCCCATTCCTGGGAAGGGCCCTGGTATTGTGAAAAGTCTTTTCTCGCTGACATTATGCTTGCTTTCTGAAGTCATGGTTGCCTGGAGAATGGGGTGGTGTTGGGTGTTCATAAGGGCCAGCACCGGCTAGGGCATGCTTGTCACATTGAGAGCTCCACGGCCTCCCTGATCCGGAAAAACAGGGCAATGCCGAATAGCCGAACGGCTGCCATTCAACAGTATGCCTCCTCTTCCCTTGCCCTTATAAATGCGTGTCGATAAATGGCCCATTCACGCCTGTGCGATAGCCAAGTAAGCAGAAGGAGTCTTGCCCCTGTCAGTCACTCACTACGACCAACCACCCTAAGAATGGATCACTTCCCGGCATATGAAGATCTTCCCACGGTCACGTTCAACGGCCAACCCAAGCGCTGCGCCTGGGGTATCTTCGACAAGAATGGAACACGCGATGTATACGGTTGTCTGAATAAGGTCACAACAGATGTCGTGGTAAAAGCCGCTGCGGAGGTGAAAGATGGCGTTACCATATCCCTCAAGTGAGAACGAAGCATGATTTCCCTTGCTCGGGGGGAGTGCAATCACTTACGGTCAATATCTAGCTGTCCGCTTAGATTGCTCCGTACTCCTGCCTTTGGAAGAAGGCAGCTCACTCACAAGGTTATATCTTTTGTTGATTCCCCTCTACAGATACATGGGTTTGATGACGAGGTAAGTCTCATCTGCTTACGACAGCTCCACATGTAAAATGGCATTGACGCCGACATGGCATTGTAGCTCGAATTTAACACCCAATGTAGCTCTCAGTGGGATGCGCTATGTACGTACCACTCGACAATCCTCAATCACAGTACTAGAAAAGGGTTAACTTTGGATCCCAGGTCATTTCTACGATCAAGATATTAAGCGGGGCTACAATAATGCGAATCCAACAATTGAAGATCTCAGCGCTGATCATATCGATGCAACGCGCACATCCATTCCCACCTTAGAACGTATGTGACCCACTCCGAGCTTTTCATGCCGAGCGTGCTTGAAATGTATCTAGTTCCCTGGTTCCCAACTGATCCTTCCTCGATGTAGACTGGCATACCTTTGGGGGTCTTGCCACCCGAGGCGTGCTCATCGATTATAAGGCCTACGCGGACAGAAACGGTATTAAGTACTCCCCCGTGTCGCCTCACAAGATCACAATATCAGAAATAGAGAAGATTGCCACAGAACAAGGCGTCATCTTTCAGCCAGGCGACGTGTTCCTGCTACGGACTGGCTACACGGAAGCCATTCAAGCAGCAACCGAGGACGAACAGGCTCAGATGATTGATTCCCCCGACAATGCTGGAGTGGAAGGGACTCTGGATGCTGTTCGGTGGTTCTGGAATCATCATTTCAGCGCGGTTGCTGGCGATAACCTTGGCTTTGAAGTTATGAGGCCTTCTAAGAACGGTATAGATGCCACTGGCTCAACTGCGGATTACGGTACTTGCCTCTACCCCTTACACTTCATATCAACAATGGTATATTGTGAGAATATGATGGCTGACGTGATGCAAACTGGCACATATAGTCTTGCATCCCCACTTTTTATCATTGTTAGGTCTTCACATTGGCGAGCTTTGGGACTTAAAGTCCTTATCTGAGTATTGTCACCGGAAGGGCCGCTTTACCTTCATGCTAACCTCCATGCCGCTGAACTTTGCTGGAGCTTGTGGCTCTCCTCCCAATGCAATGGCCTTGTTCTAAGGCCCCGTTGGATGGTGCCAAAACATGTATAGTAAGCTTTGTATGCGACTTTTCGCTTTTCGAACCAAGTAGTGGGGGCTAGCTTGTCCTATTCATGTGCCCGAACAAGCTAGACCCACTTATAGCCGCAGATCACCGCAGTGGCCATGATACATATAACATGCATTCTTACAAATCCCGATAATTGGTTCCTACAGTTCGGTCGCAATATCAGACCACATGTCCAAGGTCAAGACCTCTAACGAGCTCCGAACAGCGACACTGTATGGTTTCAATCGTCGTTCTACCAGGCGACTAGGCAGTTTGTAAATCAAGCGTCAACTATCAAGGTTGCTGACTGTCGCTGGTTGTTGAATGGGGGGCTACCGATCGTTGGGACAAAAAGTCGACTGTTAGATCGGCCGATGTTTTTTACTACTTGCTGTAGATATGACGTCACACATCAGACCTTGCCGGGTATTCTCCAGACACAGCCCCTAAAAGACGTCCAATATCACATCCATGGCTAGAACGTTCTCACTCAGTGTACTTCTGTGCCAAGCTTACCATCACTGGCACTGGTTCAAGTAGATTAAGATGCTACCCATGTTACTTTCAGCGACCGCTACAGATGGCACCTAGATCACTATGATATGCGCTAAGTCATTGTATATATCATTGTCATTGCACTGTTAAATAGCACTCTGTATAACACTGCAAGGCTACTAGGCGAGATGTTGCTTCATGAAGTCAGCAACATTCTGAGCAGCCGGGCCGACATAAGCCTCGTTATCGTAAAAGTCCATGTGCGCTCCGTTTGGAACGATGACCTTCTTCGCTGCACCCCCAATCAGCTTATCCAATCGCTCCGTATGCCAAAGAGATCCCGCCTTGTCACCGGCGATGAGCAGGGCGGGCTGCTTCAGGAACACATCTGCCAGGTGGAAGGCGTCGAAAGTAAGCACCCGCGGGAAGCTGAGGTACAGCATTTTATTCTGGGCGCGGGGATGTTGTGCCCGCGGGGTCAGGTAATAGTCGCTAGCCTCTCGCATGTCCCTTGGGGTCGTGTTGTCCGGCTGTGGGGGCACGTAGGGTGCGGCGGCGCGCTCGGCACCTTTGGCCTCGGCAGTCACCTGGGCTGCAGTGGCACGAAGCGCCTCGACATGCTTCGACGGGTCCTCGTCTCCATCCCAACCCTTCCGAGCGGAGTCTCCGATGTTGACCATGCTAACCGTGGCCAAGGCCTTCAACCGATGGTCTCCCTTGGCCGCGGCGGCTGCATAACCACCCCCAGCACAGATACCCAAGACACCAATCTTCTCGGAGTCGACACTGTCGAGATTCTGGAGGTAGTCGATCACGGCGTAGATATCGCTCACTCGCTCGTTCGGGTCTTCGAGGAAGCGGGGTTCTCCACCACTCGCGCCCTGGTAGGACGCATCATAGGCGATGGTGGTGAAACCGGCGTTTGCCAGCTTCTTTGCGTATGTTTGGGCGGTCTGTTCCTTGACACCGCCACCAGGATGCACAACTATCAGGGCGGATGTCTTGGCTGCAGTCGGAGTAGAGGGCTGGAAGAGAAGGCCAGCCAGGTTGATGGGGCCTTTGGGAATGCTGATTGCAGACATTGTGTGTCTTGTTGAAATCTCCAAAAAAACAAATATAGTAGTAGAGATGTAGACGTTAATGGAACTGACTATTGATGCGATTGAGATCAGTAGGACTATTTATAACCGCAACATGAGGGTAACCAGCCCGTTACGATGTTCGATATTGAAATATGCTCATCGGCCGAAGGCATTCCCATGGGAGAGCGATCATGACGTAGGGGAGCTGACATATCTGCTGAGCTAACCAAGGTTGATTGAACTCTATACTGCGCAGTAGTACTCGCAGGCTCATCCACTACCAGCAAGGGATATTACTGGAGTACCAGAAACATCGCTCATATTTCAGCCGACCGGCTAGTTCAGCCCGATATTTCGGCGATAATATAGTGTGGGTCCATGATTTCGGCCGAAGCGACAGCGATAGCCGATGATCTGCCAAACTCTCGAGTCTTGACCTCATATCACTACTAGTATATGAAGAGCTAAACTCCGGCCCCCCTCTCCTGTCCCTCCATAGTTTCAAAGACAGTGACACACAAAGGCCACCACCTCTATCAAGGCAATTCCTACAATGTCTCAGACAATTAAGACAGTTAGCATCCCAAACATCGCTTGGGAGACCGCCGCCAACATCCACTTCCCGCCGGCCTTCAACGAGAAAAAGAAGTACCCTGCTGTTGTATCAGCGCATCCGATTGGTTCCTGCAAGGAGCAAACCTCTGGCAATGTCTACGGTAAAGCAATGGCCGATGCCGGCTTCGTCGTTGTTGCCTTCGATGCATCTTTCCAGGGTGCCTCCGGTGGTCAGCCTCGCTTTACAGAGAATCCTGAGTTTCGTGTTTCCGACTTCCGCTTTGTGATCGACTATATCCAGACACTTCCATATGTGGATCCGAAGCGTATTGGTGTTCTTGGAATCTGCGGCGGTGGCGGCTACGCGATCAATGCAGCCATGACAGATTACCGCCTGAAGTGCTGTGTTGGCATTACACCAGTCAATTTCGGCCGCCTTACCCGCGAGGCCTTTGGTGAATTTAACCCTGCCGGCTCTCTGCAGAAGATGGCCGATCAACGTACTCTGGAGGCCCAAGGTGGCGAGCGCTTTGTTTTGAACTACCTCCCCCCTTCGGTCGCCGACGCTCAGAAGGCGACTACCGATATTGATGTTATCGAGGCTACTGAGTACTACAAGACTTCTCGTGGCCAGGCCCCCAACGGTGCCACGAGCGGGTTGTTCTCATTCAACAGTGCGGCTCTTGCATGGGATGCTTTCAACCATGCAGAAGTACTCTTGACCCGACCCTTCATGGTCGTTATCGGAGACAAACCCGGTGGCTTCGGCGCCTACCGCGACGCTCAGGAGGTTTACGGCCGCGCTGGCGCGAAGGAAAAGCAGATTGTTGTCCTTCCTGGTATCTCGCACTATAACCTTTATGATAAACCCGAAGCTGTTCAGCCCGCGCTTGAACAGGTGCTTCCCTTCCTCAAGAAGCATCTTGGCGAAGCTGAATAAGTACGGTGATACACATTAGTATTGCGCTTGACATGAAAGTCCTTCTGTTTCATTGCTTTCAATGGTCATCCATATTTTCAATGAACTAGTTGGGCTTCTGTAAGATAGTGTAAGGTAGTTCCTCTTTAATAATGCGTGATTCTGTCCCCAAATGTCCGTCTATATATCCTACATATCCATGAAACATGTACCTTCATATGGTAGGTGCGGAACTCAACTTCCCTTATATCTACCCCTGTGTTTGTATGTGAACAACGGCATTTGATTATCTATAATGAAAACCTGTTCACCCACGTAGGTTTCAAGACTGGATCGATCTGCTTATTAATTTGTTTGTTTTCAAGATCTCCACCACCATAAGGCAGAGTGAATAAAGCCTAGGCGTGTTTTCCATATTTTGGGTCTCAGAAACACTCAATACAGATCGTTCTGCTGAGTACAGGATAGTGTATAACACAGTGGCAAGTTGATGGACCAAGAGAAGAGTTAAAAACACGTATAAAAAGAAATGAACAGAATAAAAGGTACGCCAGCATAGTATATAACAGAATATCATTGATTCAAATTCTAATAACAACCTTCCCTGTTTGCTGGCCCGAGTAGACATAATCGAAGGCTGCAGGGGCGTCCTTGAATTCGAAGGTTTTGCCAATAATTTGCTTCAGTGAGATCTCCTTTTCTTCAAGAAACCGACAGAGGCCCTCCTGGTCAGCTTTTGAGCCGACTTGAATTGCCCTGGAGAAAAGACTGTTAGTAGCGGTCCTAGCTATCACTCGGGCCAGGGAGATCGCAGGTAACAGAGCAGGGACATACTTTAGTGTTCCCACTTTCAAGAATAGGCTTCCCAACGCATCAACAAACTTATCTAGCTCCAGTCCACCTAGAAACCCGATCCAAGATATAAGACCACGGGTAGCCACGGATTTAACACTTTTCTCGATGCTGCTACCTCCGACGGTTTCGAGTACAATATCGACGCCTTGGCCTTTGGTCAAGCGTAGGACTTCCTTTTCCCAGTCAGGCGTAGTGTTATAGTTGATAACGTCAACAGTCCCTTCCTTGCCCAGGGCTGCGGCAGTCTGAAGCTTTTTGTCCGAGGAAGAGGTAATGATAGGATGGATGCCAGCACCCAAGCAGATCAGTAGTGCAAACATGCTCACACCTCCTGTGCCTATATTGCGACCACCGACGTATTAGACTTTTTCGTTGCAAGACCCCGCGAATGGAGGGTATACATTACCTAGCATCAAGGCAGATCGTCTCCGGTCCAAGGGTCCTGTCATACCCAAAGCATTCCAGGCTGTGGTCCCAGCGCAAGTTATACACGCCGCCTGATGGAAGTGTTAGCCCACCCTAGAAGATCAACAGCGTAACATGAAACTCTCAGCTGTACCTCTTCCCAGGAAAGATGCTGTGGGATGTGAACGAGCACTTTCTCGTCGAACACTGCATACTGTCGTAGCACGCCGTCGACAGTACCGCCAAGCTGCGCAACCGCATCCTCGGGATCCGGCTCATCGATAAACTTCAAGTCGAAGATCGGGGACACACGGTCTCCAACAGAGACCTTTGTTACCGCAGACCCAATTGCCACCACCTCTCCAGCGCAGTCAGACGCGGGAATGCCTTCCTCCTTCACGGACACTGGGTACTTGCCATGAAGCATCCCTACATCTCTGTAGTTCAGGGACACAGCATGCACTCGAATGAGAACGTCCTGTGAATGGAGTGGCGGAACCTGTTCGACTGTTGCGCGGATTGTTCCAGCCTCCTTTCCTGGGGCACGTCGAAAGGCCTGGTAGCTCTTAGGCACGGACATTATGAAAATATCATATAACAATGTCAATTATATTCATATGTTGTCTTGGGTAAGAACCGGAGTCTTATGCAATGAGAACTTCGTGCAATTGAAGCCCAAACCCTATATAGTCCGTGCGTTGCGTACACCAAGATTTATAAAATTATAGCAGTCGAAGTGCCCTATTCGTCATGATTACTTCATCGATGAACAACTATGCTACGTGAAAGACGTGGGATTTGACTAATGTTAAACCCTCTGCCCATCGGCCGATGAAGAACATCTCTTCGGCCGACCGGAAACCGGGTTAGTTACTGGCTCGACTGCATGCGTCAATCGGTGGATAATTCCAGTACAACTACGACATGGGGCAATATGTTCATTGGCAATTGCTGCCTTCCATTCCATTGGAATGTTTTTCACTCACGCTTATGCGCCCACCTTGGTAATCGCTGACCCGTCCCTATACTCCGCAAAAGCCACGCAGTTAATCTGCCGTGCTGACCATGTAAACTCCGTCAACTCCGTCTAACTCGATATCTCCGAAGAAGGGATGGGGCAACCCAATATTCGGTTTGTGGAAGATATATAACGTTGTTTCCACGTTTGGTGGAACTGATGAATGCGCCTGGCTACTTATAGAGCCCACACAAGACAACAGGTTCCCCGTACATTATAACCATGGACTCACAGCCTGTTTGGTTCAGTACGTAAAGATCTGATATATCGAAGGATACCAATTGTCTAACCGCATACTCTACAAATAGTTACCGGCTGCTCATCTGGGCTTGGCAAATCGCTGGTCCAGACTGCCCTGCAAGCCGGCCATCAGGTCGTGGCCACTGCTCGCAATGTTGCATCTCTCTCCTACCTACCAGACGGACCTCGTGTCCTCAAACTCGGTCTGGATGTCACCTCAAAGACTGATATCACGCTTTCCTTGTCTACGGCTGTAGATAAGTTTGGCCGCATTGACATAGTAGTCAACAATGCCGGATACGCCGTGATGGGCGACACCGAAACAGTGCCGGAGTCAGACGCCCGTCTTCAAATGGAAACTCTTTTTTGGGGGCCGGTTTTTCTTACACAACAGGCCGTTCGTATATTTCGAGAGGCGAACCCTCCAGGTCAGGGTGGCACCGTGGTGCAAGTATCATCCATTGGTGGGCTTGTGACATTTCCCGGCAGTGCATTTTATCACGCTAGGTAGGTAAAAATCCGGTTTCATATCTCAGCTTGTGTCAAATACCACCGTGAAACCATCACGTTCTCCAATCTTTTCGGCTCTGTTGCTAAAGGCTCAATAGCAAATTCGCCCTCGGCAGCTTCACTGAATCGTTTGCCAAGGAGATGGATCCTGCTTGGAATATTAAATTCATGGTGGTTGCCCCTGGAGGGATCAAGACAGACTTTGGTTCAAATATCAACTTTGCCGCTCGTCATCCTGCTTATGATACTCCCACTTCCCCGCTCAATCAGTTGCTGGCATATATGAGTAACCCTGCAGTTCAGGAGACATTCTCGACACCAGAACAGTGCGCTAGAGTGCTCTTAGACGCTGTCACAGGACAGGCGCAGCGACCGTTGCCAAGGCGGTTATTGATGGGTGCTGAAACAATTGCTCTACTGGAAGCTGATCTCAAAACCAGCGCGGAGGAATTGGAAGCCTGGAAGGATGAGACTGTGCGATGTTCGTCACAGAAGTCCCAGTAGGAAAGTTCAAATACCTACGAATCTCACAGGATTGCTTTCCTACATGAATATCAACTCGAGTTTACAGTCCAGCCGTCTATAATTAGAGAAAACAAGCAAGTCTTTCTCCTGGGAAGGCAGGCAATGCGCCTTTATTCTACTTAAGTTGCTTCAAGACCCACCGATGGGCTCTAAGCCGTCTCTACCTTCGCGACAGCTTGGTCTATCCCCTCCCACTCCCACTCTCCTGCCGCCTAATAAGGTCATCGATCTTCCGTCACCCGGCCATTGGTTTTACTGCCCAGCACCTATATATCGGTTAACGCTGCAGTCTGCGGGTGTTTATAGGTAGAATACAGCACATTGCAAATATAGAGTTTTGTATTTTCCGTATAGTCTATATATCAACTAATACTGCCTAATTCATTAAGGCTTATCAAGGCTGCCTATATTAGATCCGGCCTTTTAAGTTATGGAGCTGTTTCATTTCACGTTGTTACTACAAGTATTTCTTATAGCTGAACGATAGTATAGGGGCTGGCGATGACGAAAAAGAGACAGGCAACGATTACATTCATTAATATGCCCAAGGCCAGAGCCTGCAAGTCCTTTCTATATCCCAGGGCCCGTAAATTTAGATCCTATTGCCCGCGGGAGTTCGTTCTAAGCCTCATCTTGCTGTAGTCTGCTAGACATTAGTATCAGCCTTCGCGGTTTATTTATCCTTTCCCGGTTCTCTGGTTAGTCTGCTATCAGCACCTCTGACTCTTCTAGAGTTAGAGAGTCTGAGCCAACACTAGCAGGCGTGAGATACAACCTAACCGTTGCACAAGACGCTTTAGCTGATCGCGGCCCGGCCTGCCGAGAAAAATACATAGCCGTAGTATCCTAAAAATACCAATTTATCTATATTACAAGTCGTACGGTACTCTTCATGTCAGTCCGTAATAGAGGACTCTATTGTGTATCAGGGGAATAGCTAAGCCCCACACTGCGGTCTAATGACGCCTCGTGTCAAGAGAGTAAATTGCTACGTCGATTTTCGGCAGCCTATATGACATCTTTAAATTGACTATTAGATCCTTAGTTACTGTAACTAAGTAGAAACGAATCCTCCACTATGAATACATCTCTCACTTCAAGAACAAATTACATCCCTGATACATGCGAGATACACTTTACATGTAAGGGAACTCCGGCCACATCCTGGATTCCGCCGCATCCCTGAGTCGAACTGTACATCCCTATTGCGGCAGGTGCTGAGAAAAGAAGCTGACCAATTTAGGACCGCTGACGGTGGTGTTGTCATAAAGTCCGACATGGGTCTCGCCAGGGACCTGGAAGAGCTCCTTGGGCTCCAGGGCACGGTCATACGACTGCTGGCTGAAGTAAAGGGAATCCGCGGCAGAACCCGCAATGACCAGGAAGGGGCGGGGTGAGATCAAGGCATTCTGGTTGAAGGCCCAGAAGTTGACGATCTGGTCCAAACTGCGAGTAACAACGCGGTTCGGGGCCCGGGGGTGATATCCACGAGAGGTACGGTAGTATTGGCTGGCCTCGCGCCACAAGGTGGGAAGATCGGCGGGCAGGTTGTTCGGGTCTTCAGGAACGATGGGAGACAGCTCAGGTTGGGCACCATGCGCTTCGGCCGTACGGAGCTCGCCAGCCTCCTTCAGTCGCTGCTCAATGACAGTGCGGTTAAATGCTCCAGTGGTGTACTTAAGCCCCTCACGGAAGAGACTTCCGACATCGACGGCGCTGACAGTTGCAACGGCCTTCATGCGCAGATCGGTTTGGGCCGCGAAAGGGACATAGCCACCCGAGGCACAGATACCGAGGGCTCCGATATTCTCCGGGTTAACCTCGTCCAACGTAGTGAGGTAACTCACGGCGGCCTTGAAGTCTTCAACTCGCTGGCCGGGATCTTCAAGAAAATGGGGAGAGCCGCTGCTCTCTCCCTGGTACCCGGCGTCGAATGCCAGCGCGAGGAAGCCGTTTTCAGAAAGGTGTTTTGCATACAAGCCGGCGGTTTGCTCCTTCACACCTCCGTAGGGGTGGCCGACTACAATGGCGGATCCATTGCGGTTGGGAGCTGAGGACTCGGGGAGGTAGAGTTCGCCGACAATCGTCAGGTTGCGGCTGGGAAAGGTCACCCTGCGCGCAAGGGCGAGGTTTGCAGCTATCAAGAGCTGCGTAAGGTAGGTGGAAGGTTTCATTTTTGAGCTGCTGTGCTACTTCTTGCTATGGGAACGCTTTGGATAGAAGAGAAGATGATTGCTCGATACAGAATGGAGACGGCAATGGAGTTCCCAAGGGCAGGTCTGGCTTATATAGTTCATCCGGAAGGACTCTAACTCTATCCTGGTCTTCTGCTTTCCTCACTGCCGTCCCCTTTTTCTCCTTCCTTATCTCCGAATCTAGGTGAGGCTTACATATCTGAAGATTGCACCATGCCATCACCCTATGTGAACAATAATACTCTGGAGCGGGATGCTAGCACTTACCGGCGCCACGGCGTCGTCATCATTAATGCTAATTTCTTGGCCCATTTTAACATCTAAGATAGGTCACCAGTCCTGTGCATCGTTGAGAAGTTCAGTATTGTGGGGCCCCTACTATCTTTCCTGCGGGTCGAGTCGAAGATCCCTGAAAGAAGAGCCGATGAGACCTGCCTTAGTGCTGCAGCCATTCGATTGGCAGAACTAGATCTCAATAATACGATTAAACAGGCCTTAGCCACCAATTCAAGTCGTTAGTGTCAGGAAGCGATATGGGGTTCAGAGGCGTTCATATTCTGCAGCAGCACAGGCATACAGCACTTAGTTACGTTCACATTACATAGACTTACAGGGCAGGACTCTGTACTCAGCTAAAGCAGATCAGAATAATCGTCTGGCTACGGATTCCTGACTCTAAACTTCGCGGCGTTTCGCCAGGTCGGGCATAACAACCTCCAGTGCGTCGTTAAACCCCTTGTCACGGGCTGGGTTTGATCAGGGGAGCACTAAAAGATTGTCCAGGGATGATCACGGAGACTTTTGGCCTAGTTTAAAGTTGGAGAGCCGAAACTGTAACTCACCTCCACAGTTGCGGCATATACTTCAGTGGGATGTGGAGTCTAGAACTTTAATCGTGCCAATCGCCGAAAGTCTTTCGGCCGAAAATGCCAAGAACAACCTTCGATGGCTGTGCTCTTCATCGCGGTCATCCCCGATAGTTGGTCATCTTCGGCCGATAAATGAAGAACCTTGTTCAAGTCGAACGTAGCAGCCTGGGGAACCGAACCAAAAAGCCCTTGGCTGATGTTGCCTGTAACCTCGGAGACATTTCTCTTGTTTCTCCGGGATTTGTGTCCGTAGTCTTTCATCCTTGATTAGAAATTCATTTAGGTATTAGTAACAGTTATGAAAAGCCATCTCGGGGCCTGCTATAAGACTTAGCAGCAGCGATCCTCTCCTTCCATCCCTACTATATCGCTTCAATCTGTCGTTGGAGAGCTCCATACCCATCATGTCCAAGATACTAGTCGTATTTGGAGCCACTGGAAACCAGGGTGGTTCCGTCGTCAATTATGTCCTCAACGATCCTCAGCTCTCCCAGGTTTACCGTGTTCGCGCCGTGACTCGTAACCCTTCTCAGCCTGCCGCTCACAACCTCCAAGCCAAGGGAGTCGAAATTGTCCAGGCCGATGCAGATGACCCTCAATCCCTTCAACGAGCCCTTGATGGTGCGAGCACCGTTTTCATCCTCACCACTGAGGCCTACAGCAAGGCCCGCGAAATTGCACAAGGGAAGGCTATCGCAGATGCCGCAGTTGCCGCAGGGCTCGAGTACATCATCTACAGCACCCTGCCGGGCGTAACGGAAATCACCGGCGGCCGCTATCGTAAGGTAGGATACTACGATAGCAAGGCAGAAACTGAGCAATACATCCGATCCTTGCCGATTCGAAGTGCATTCTTTGCCCCAGGGTGCTATATGCAGAATTTCCACAACGTGATGAAGCCTCAGGATCTGGGGGATGGGACGTATGGCATTGTTAATTTCGTCTCGCCCGATACACTACTGCCGCTCATTGATATCAACGATTCGGGGAAGTTTGTGGGGGCGATTCTTGCTGAGCCGGACAGATTTGAGGGCGAGATGGTGGCTGCGGCCGAGAAGCTCTATTCTTTTTACGATGTGGCCAACCTGCTGAGCAGCTCCCTCGGCAAGACAGTCAAGTATCAGCAGGTGGCATTGAGTACATTTAGAAGTCATCTTCCCCCTGACCATGCCGATGCTTTAGTGGAGACTATGGGGTTTTTTGAAGATTATGGCTATTATGGACCACACACGAGGGATTTGGTCGCAAAAGGTGCAAAGCATGCTGCACACCCATTAACCACCTTCGAAGCATACCTCACCCAGCAGCCTATTGATTTGTGATATCATGCAACCAGAACATCCTCAAATAAATTATTTAATGCCGATCCACACTGGAACCCGCGGGTCTGCCGTAGAATATTTCTCACTCTATCTCACTGGCGTGGCCATTGTAATACTTTAATCGTGTTAGCGAGGATCCTATAATTCCACCACTAGCCTCTTAATCCCACGTACCTGTGTAGCAAGATTAATATTCGCTCTTTAATGTTGAGAGTACGCGCAGTGAGATGAGTCTATTCAAGACCTGTACATGTGTGATCCCGACAAGGACCACGGGGCTTTGGCTCCTGAGATGCATTCTTTCTCCGCAGATTCTATCCCGGTGAAGACGACGAGCCAGACACTGACAATACCATGCGAGGCTGGTCCCCAAGTTGAAGAGGGGGAGCAATATCGCAAAGACGTCACGAAGAAGGTGCCAGTCCGTGATACGTTTTGGTTGAAAGGCCAGCCGTACTCGATATTCGATATGTTGAACTATGATGGTTTGAGCCCGACATTTCTCAGTTCTTCGTGCTATCACTGGTAGCATAAACCGATCTATGGAACGATCAAGGAAGTTATACTGATCCCAGATACTTGCTATTCCACGGCCATGTTCCATAACTATGCGGAATTGGTCCGTCTGGTTCCCATCTCCCTCAGCTATATCTGGCCTGTGTAGCTACTCGAGTACTTATATTTATCGAGCTGAAATACGAGCTATCTGGGTTGGTGTGCTTTATTACGATTAGAATAAACAAGATCACCAGGTGGGAGTTGGCAGTGAAAACAGGTGACAGTGTAAAGAAACAGGAGATAGATATAGTCTATATAGGAGGCTCGGCATTCGGCCTACTGTTTGGACCCGGTATAGATATAAAGTTTGACAATCTACCAAATAGTAATAGATTGTTCCAACTAAACAGTTATCTGACGGAGGTTCGAGTGTAAGATTTAGCTTGCGGGGCTATTTATAAACAGATTTAAGCTTATTTACTTGTTCTCAAACACAAATGTTTTGAAACATGGTGTTGATATCTGGCAAACTGACCTCTCCTAGAAGCTCCTCGCTTCAGTGCTACCTAGCCAGCTACAGTTATCCAGCGCCGTCCTCTCCATCCCCAGATAACTTCTTAATCTCCCGAACCAAATTCTCAACAACACCACGACCAGGCGGGCACTTCCACTCATAGGTATGCCGAACGCACCACACCTTATCATCCACACGAACAGTGCAACTAGCTTTCGCATTCACGGCAACGCTACGCGCGACGCTGCTAATCAAAAGCTCCAGACCTTCTTCACTGTTCGCACAGTCACCGATCTTCTCATAATCGACGTTATGTTCCTGCGCACACTCCTCAATTAATCCCTTATCTGAAACGCGCTCAAAGTCCGATAGCACGAAGGCATTGAAATCCAAGGCATCACCGATAGAGTCTACGTGTCTCTCAGAACACACGAGAAATTAGCTGCCTTTGCATTCGTTCATGCCGTGTTGGCAGGTTACGTCTCTTCTTGGCTTTTCCCAAACCCTGGCGATTTGGGAGTTAGGATCCTGGCAGTGTACTCTGGGATGATGGTCGGTGGTTGTTGCTGAGTCTGAACTCAGTCTCTCACGTAGCTGATTCTGAAATCCACTTGATCTTCCACTTGCCAATATGCAGGGGCTACGAGCTTTTGCAGACAGTCTCGGGTGTCGGGGCAGCGGCTTTCGATGTGGACTTCGAAGGGAACTTTCCGCGTCGCCTCGTGAGAAACTCGATGAGTGTATCCCGTTTGTTTAGCATCGACGAAACGGAAAGAAGTAAAACAGATTACAGCTAAGAACAGACATGGAGCGATGACACAGGACCGGAGCAGTGAGTGTGGTTTGGACACATGAGTCTGGGAGCGTAGGGGACTTGCTGTGATTGTCCTTTTATGACGCTGGTTTTCCATTCTGGAGGGTACCTGGCTTGACATAAATGAAGAGAAATAGTAAAGTTAATATAGTCAACTCTTGTACTCAACTTCAGTGACCGTATAATGTGCTCATTCTGACGCAACATGCGCAAAGGGGGACTTTTATATGACAGTGAACGAATGGGCTAGTTTCATTTCAGTGTGGCCAACCTACATTCCTCTTGATCCACTTTTCCGCAAGGAAAGCTATCCATATGCTACAAATTGTTGGAGAATCTTTGTAACACATCCAGTTAAAATCTTCTTTTCTAAGCTACTCGCCCAGGAGCATCAATATTGAACAGTGCTGTTGTATCCACTGTTGCCTTACTTTTCCACTTTTCAAAAACTGGCACCCACCACTGTCAGAAACGCTGATTGTTTGATTCTCTACTTAAATTCAGTTTCCTTGTGTGTTTTTGTTTATGCATATTCATTGTTGTCATAATCGCCTAGTGAAGGGTGAGCAATTCACCCTTCGGAGCAACAGGCGATGTGTAGGCCAAGTTAACCGGGATTAGAGTATCTTGATCAAACTCCATGTCGTTAAATGATGCAAAAATGAGGCAATGGGATGATCCTCCAAGACGGAACGAGCCAAGCCCCTGTCCTTTCATGATCTTTTGGCCTTCGCTGACTTAAAATGCACAACTAGCAATCTCCTCCATTCCGACTGCGATAAAACACATAAGCCCAGTAACCGGATTATCGGCATCAATGAAATCAGTGCGCGAGGGGTGGCCGCGGTCATGTAGCGCTGGGACATATTCGGCGAAGAGGGATCCGGTATGTTGCGGTTGCTGTATACCTCCGGGAAATCGTATCTCAGAAAAGGAGATGTCTGGTATTCTCACTACCCTTTGTATCGTTCCAGACGCTGGGGAGTGCCAGCAGTCATAGCACCCAACGGCCAACACGCTTGGTATACCGTACCGCCGACGAGGTCGTTGATGAAATTACTGTCTAGCATACGAAGCGATTGTGGTTACTCTTTCACTGTAAATTGGGTGCTTCTTGACACATCAGGTGCACACTTGTAGGCAACGAACTCGCAAGCGTTGCAATAACATCTTTGCGTTTGTCAGACCAGTCATTATTTCTGTCTAGATATTCGACCGAACGGATATTACCAACCTGCTATGGCAAAGTGCCCTTCATTCACTAGCTCTATTCTCGAAAGGCCATGCCTTCTCCCACAATCCCCGTTCCTCAGAAGTTTTTGATTCCCGATCTAAAAACCTCTTTTTGGCAATTTTAAGTCTTCTAACAACTTCGTCATAATCACCAGGAGACACAGCCCCGTTCCAGCCTGTATACACTCCTAACTCGTTAATCACTTGCGCTTTCCGCTCGACATCTCTCTCCCATTTGGCATACTCCTCGTTCTGCTTAACCAAGTCATGCTCTGTGTAGCTCAGGGGGCACGGAACACTAGGATTGCCGTGATTATCCTCTCCAACTAGCTGCCTCCAAACATCATCTCTAGTGAGATCAGCCAGAAGCGTTTGGAGATGTAGTTCTCCATCGTCAAATATTGACCCCACTAGACTTAATAGCTCAGAGTGCAAGGTTTCCCAATATTGAGATGCATGAAGTAAGTCCGGGGCTTCCTTATACACTTGTGTCTCGTAGTAAAGCCACAGCTTCTGTGCAAGAAACAGCTCACCAGCAGCTCTTTTATCTTGGGGACTGAGGTCATTGATATTCTCCCGAAGGCTAGGTTGAACGAACCGTTCTGGCTTCGGGCCATCAAATTCTATAAGAGATGGATGATGGGCAATAAGGAACATCGGATAAATAGGAACAGCTTGCCAATCGATGATACCAGTTATCTTGGTGGGTTTATCTTGGTCAACGAAGATATTGTCGGAGTGTAGGTCGTTGTGCCAGACTATACCCGCGTTGAGCCCATCATCTTTTGGTAGGATATGTTCATATATCTTAAGAAAGTCCTGTGGAACAGACAATTTTGCTTCCTTTGTAGGATGATAACCACCAGGTCCATTGAAAATGCCCTGTTGGCTATCTCGAGGAAAATTTGAAAATGTATTCACACAGACTAGTTCTCGCTTAACCAGCACATCCATGGTGTTTCTTGGACTTGTCCCTAGTATATGACGCAATTAACTTGATGTATACTTGGTGGGGAGGTGAAGTAACTTACAGGGGCCTCTATGAATGTCAACCTTACCTCGTCTGTCATCAAACCACGCTCGCCCTGTTGTCGGTCCGATTGCGAAGGTATCGTCAAATTCGATGCTTTCAGAGTCTGATACATCCTTACGAAGGTATAATGAACCATGAGAGGGAAACCTTGCCCTAGAGAGTGTGGAAATAAGGGAGCCAATTTGCTTCGTGATTGATAGCTTGTCCCGCGGCTTAAGGCTTTCCCACATGCGGCTAAGCTCAATCCCTTGGGCCTTTTCCATGACGAACGTTTGGATGTGGGATTTTAACAACTGTCGTCCGTCCTGCATGGTAGCAAGAAACGCTTTGTTGAAGTTCCTTCGGGGAGCTTTGAGATGTTGACGCAAACCGCATTATCCCCGGCTGCCTCCTCTGCAATTTTAATCAAAGCATTTAGATCGAATGAAACGTATCTCATTTGCAGCTGCCGCGCCTCCTTCTAGATCCATCGCTGAGCCGAATAAGTGTAGAGATCACCTGGATCACAGTCTAAAAGCTAATTAGCAGCCAACATTTACTACAGTAAGAGATGTTACCTAAAAGTTTTGTTTCGGAGCTTGCCCTTCTCCCGGGCATAGTGGACAATGACCGATATGTGATTGCATAAAAACGGGAATAGTAGAGAATAGACGTACGAAGCAAACACCTTCTACTTTGTAATGACCTTTCTGTGTGGTCTCTCCCAAACAAGTAGGATGATTGTACAATCTAAGCATCTTGATGCTGGTCCGGTATGTCTCGGCTGTTGACACGTGATATATTTTCCCAGTAACGTAGACAATAATTGATCCTATTCCCCCCTAACTACACCAACTCTTTGTCATATGATATAGTCTTCTAGCTACCGCATAGGCCAGACTGGAATATGGCCCTTTTCATTTTTTATACAAGAGAGTTACCCAGCACGTAAATCTATATGTGATGGACGAGGCTATTCTTAGGGGAGAGGTATTACGCGTGGATTTGTTTCCTTCACTTGATCGGATAGGGTCTGCTATGTTGAGAGAATGTAGCGTGGAGAGTCATGAAGCGATCTAGATCCTCCTAAGGTCCATTGAAAGTCTTGTATACCGTCCAAGGTATTTTGGCACTGAGATTCTATGCTACCAAAGATAGGATCCTGCCAAGCTCAGAGCAACCAGGCGGCTATCTATTACTAAATGTGCTGCCAGGTTTGTTCCGGCACCAGGAGCAGGCCATACGATACGGCTTCAGAAATATATTTTCATCTGATGTGACACTTGCGCTCTTTTTTTCCCCTCCATTTCTAAAAAAAAAAGCGGGTCTCAAGAGTCAAGCTTAATACTAAATATTTTTACGAGTATATCAGTGGTCCGCTGAATTGCGGAAGTAAATTCAAAGCTTAGTCTTCTGAACCAGAGCTTCTCTGTGAACGGGGACAAAGATAACCGGTGGGCATCGCACGGAAAGTTAGCATTCATCGTGGTTCGAACCTTTCGATGGGCTCCCTCAACTGGATGTTCCCATTTAGGCTTGGCAGAGTTGCAGTTCCACTGGATACCCTAGGCCTAGAACACGCTCGCGCATACTTTTTCATGGAGATAGTCACCTAAATAGTACAATCATTCATATAGCTGGTTCCATAAACTCGTTATTTCGCCGTTAGGGTACCTACCTAACTTTCTTAAAAATGCGAGAGGTTACTTCGGGGAAAAGAGATGCGATCTCATCATCTCATAGTGGTGTGTCCTCCTTGTTTGTGTATAATAACAGTAGCCGAGAGGATTTTAAGGGTCTTTTTATTTTTATTTTTATTTTTATTTTTTTTCTTTTGTTCTTTTGTTCTTTTGCAATAAATTTAGTAGGGCTCTTCTGAGATCGACTATGTAGCACATGACCTAACAATTACAGTGTTTGGTACCAAATACATAATTCCTATTATTCAGTTCGGCATGGACAAGGTATATATGCAGCCCAATATGAACTATTGCTAACTCCGGCATCTGAAAGGTAAGGAATGGCTAGCTCTTACTGGGAGTCAAGCTTTCCACCTTGGTGGTTCCAGTAGTATTACCCGTGCTTTCAGCATGAGTAATGCTGTTCAGGATATCAGAAGCTGATAGTAGCGTGAGAAAGGTTCTGGAAGTCTAGACTTTCTTTTCTTACAATGGCCCCAAGATTTTGTGGAAAGTACTCCGTAATGGTGTTTGAAATCTTAAGTTTTTAACGTTAGTTGTTTTTCTCCTTGTTCCCTCTGTGTACGTGGCATGATCTTCGTATATGAAACCATAATTGTTAAAGGGCAGTTGCTTTTTGTAGTCTTCACTATCTGCCAGTGTTTGACCATGGCACATCTAGTCATATGAACAACGTGGTTCCAGATAACTAAAACCCCCCAATCAGGGATCAATAAGCCATAGTCTGTATTTTTATTTATATTAGAGTCGCGCCTAGAACAGTAGGAACAAGTCTGAAATTCTTTTGTTGAAGTTTGTCAGGAGATTTCTGAATGATCCCACAGGTTGGTCCAAATCTGTGTTATTCCTGGTACCCTGGGCAGTTGCAAGCCTCTATCATGCGTTCTATACCAACCCCCAACTGGATAATAATGTCTACAAGCACATAGAGTGTCTGGGGAAGTCTAGATTTCAACCAGCTCTAGGTATGTCTCACTATAAAAGCCCCGACACAGTAGTGTTGAAATGAGAACCTCCAACTTCCATGAGCCTTTGCATCCACAGTCTA